GCGTCCCTCTCTCCCCTGGATAGTACAGAAAAAGTTCCAAAAAACAGCTATTTAAAGAAGAGAGAAATATAGAAACAATTCATTCTCTAAGAAGAATTTTCTAATGTGATCAATATCATCATCCCGAGCTCGACAATCCATTACTGGATCTTGGCTGCCTCAACAGTTTCCCTGTCTTGAGCAGTCTCCACCAGTTCCTGATTGCATGGATTCTATCGTCCGCACTTACTCCATTTTCCATCTCAGTTTCGGTCTACTCACTTTTCTTTTTCCACCCGACTCCATGCCCAGCAGCTTTGGAATTGAAGTCTCGTCCATCCGAACAACTTTGTTCTTCCATTTTAGCCTTGTTATTCGAATATATTTCACCACATCCGTCTCCTCGTATAAGTTAGCTATATGGTAATAGGGTATAGGGTAAGTTAATATGAACTTTTTTGTAGTATACAAAGTCTATTATCACCTATTTAAATATTTCCCTCTACTTACGGGACATCCAGTACATTTTAAAAAAAAATTTGTACATTAATAATATTGTTATCAAGATTATAGATATGATTTTAAGACTTGAAAATGGTAGGATTGGCCTGAAACACTATCAGATGTAAAAAAAAGGAGATAAAAATGTAATAGTTGTTTGGACAAAAAAGTTTTTTTTTTTTTATTATCCCTCGATATAATAAATTTATAATGAAAATTTATACACCCTTTAAGAATCTAATATTAGTAATTTTATATATATTTTTCTATATATGTATATTTTCAATATATGGCAAATAGTTTTCCATAAAATGCACTTGAGCCATCTGGAAATGAACACTCATTATGAAATTCAACTTCAATTTGACAGCATTTAGCAGAGTGAAATCAATCCACTGTATCTAAAAATCTGATGCACCCAACACACAACTTTCACTTACCACTCTACTTAGAATAGAAATTATTTTCTGGTAATGTTGGAATATTATAAAATTTTTGAAGTGCATTTTAAACGGAGGTAAAGCTTAAAGCTTACAGATTACAAATCATTAAGACCATTAAAATTACAAAGAGTCTATTTATTACATCGACGATAAGCAATAAAAGTCTAGTTACTCCATCTTATAAACCACACAACTTCAGTCTCTGAGCCTTTCAGTTGACTAACTCCAATTTCAACATTTTGGAGTAGTATCATTTTAGTGATATATTTAGATGGAAAAGTTGTATCTATACAGACAGTGAGTAAGTTGATTCCAGAATAGGTGAATGCAGTGTTGAAATATAGAACTGTGAATAAAGGTATACATTTTGCCACTGGAAACATCACTAAAATTAATAATAAAGAATGTTGAAATTGCAGTTAGTCATTCTGTCAACCGAAAGGCTCATATATGCCTAAAGAGAATTGAATGTATATCTGAATATTTAACCTGTTAATGATTACCGATTGCCTGGACTTTAAGTTATTAAACTGTTATTTTCAAACTTGGATTTTTTTTTCTTCCAAAATTTTTCTCTCTAATTTAATTTTCTAAAAGATTACTTGATGGTTATTTGTAATAAATGGCCAATAAATACCTAATTATTTAAATATAATATCATATCTAGAGTTATTACATTAAATATATTTAAGGTTATAAACATATCCCTGAAATATTTTTATATTTCACTTCGTCTTTTACACTAGTAAAATGGAATAGTATTTTAAACAATACCATTGGCTTGATTCTGTGGATTTTAAATACTTTTTTCAAACTAAAAAAAAAAATTTAAAAATTTATGTTTAGCAAATTTATGTTTAGAAAATTTCATTTAATTTCCTTGGAAATTACGTAAAACGTGATTTACGTTAAATAATATTAGTTTTCAGAAATTATTATTTATATTTTTTTCGTCACTCTCCGTTACCTTCTACAACTTCATTAGTTTGTATTATTTTTCTAAAATTCTCTGCTTTCCAACGATATGTTGTACTATACTATACTATAATATATTATATGTATACCTTCTGACAGCTATTTCTGAGTGTTCATTTTCAGCCTGGATAAGCTTTTTTTTTTTTTTTTCTCCAGTTTCCAATTCAATTATCATATTCTTTCAAACTTCATATTTAGCTATTTTTATATTTACTGTCAATAAAAGACAGTTAATTCTTTAAAATAAACTATATTAAAGGTACTTACTTAAAGGTAAGCATATGAACATTGTGCATTTAAGCCCTGTAAAGGGACATTGATTGGAATAAAAACTAAATGACATTAAAGACCACTTAATTATACAATGATACACCAAGTTTAATCAAAATCGTTAGAGCCATTTTTGAGAAAATTGTAAAAATATGTTTCACCATTGATATAAAGTGGCACTTCTGGTAAGCCAATTTGAACAAAAAAGTTGCTGTAACATCTGAGGCATACCATAGGTCTTAAATAGGTAATATCAGTTTCATACAACATACATACACAGAGACAAACACATACACACACACACACACACACACACACACACCATTTTGCGGGACTTGGTTATTTGGACTCAGGAGACCTCAAAACATGTAATTCTGTTGAACACTCAGATTCGAAAATTTTCACGATCACAATACTGTCCCTTAATATATATTTCATATATAGGTAAGTGAAAGTAAAAATGAGTTAGGGTGCTTTTGAATCAGATTAGTGCTTAATATTTAAGCAGAAAAGAATCTTTTGGTTCAAAGTTAAAAAATATATTGGAAATAGAGTGTGACCTTTCTATTTCAAAAATAGAATCTATAGAATCAAAAGAGAACCACGCCACTAAAAAGAATTTTAAACAACTATTAATTTAATAGTCATAGTTTGTGTTTGATAAAGTGTGGAATAAAATTAGTTTTGTATCAAAACAAAATTATTTTAAAGCTTTAGATTTTCCAACACTTTTAACTTTGAATTTTGTTTTCTCAAAACACATGCAATAAGGATTAGCTTCCTTCTATTAAATGCCACCCAATTAGATTAAAAATATTCACTAATTTTTGTTGAAGAGAAGTAAAGTATTCTTTCAACTGACATAGATAACTCATTATAAGATAATTAGTAATTCCTTGTTGTTTCAGGAATGTATATTTATGTAGAAATGTCAGGGAAACATTACCACATGGGCACAGTGGCTTATTTAGAAAGTCCTATCATCGATCCACCTCCTCAATACCATAACAATTTTTCTTCACCATATTACAATTCATGCTATGTAAGAAAGATTTATATTTAAAACTAAAACAATTGATTATATTCCATCTTTGATCAATCAAACTTGAATCAATGGTCATTTACTTATAGATTTCCTTCTATTATCACAAACATGGACCAGCTAGTGGATCGTTAGGTCTCTTCTTAACTGAATTGCAAGGAAATGCCAACAGAACCAGTAAAATTTGGTGGAGTTTTGGTGAAAAGGGAAACAAATGGCAAAGACAAGTTATTAGATTGCCAAGTATTAATCACAGGTTCTTTTTTACTTTTAATAATTTATTGGTGTGAACTTTATATTTCTGTACATTGTTTATTTGTATCCTTAACTAATTATAAATTATAAAAAATAAGCAAATGAATATGTAATAAGTACTTAATTTACTGAGATACTTTAATGAGGCATCTAACAAAGATTGAGGCGAGTGGAACAGAGACCAAAGAGTTGGGGTGTACATAGTGAAATTCTGATAGCACTTGTTTACATAAAAATAAATTGGATGGGTCTGTTCCCATCATTTTCTTTGTCTACATCTTCATGCCATTCCTAAAGTCAAGAAGTCTCAATCTAACGCATCCTTCCATCTGTTATATATAATTATATATGACAGAAAAAAAAACATTTGCTGCGATTATTCTTGACGAGATAGGCTCTCTGTCTTCCAGTAAGTTATTCATTGTTGGAATCATGGCTATACCTACTCCTTTCTCAAAAGCTCCTTGAGGGACGCCAGCATATATAAGGACATAATCACTTTATAACTTCACTTCACCGCTTCTTTGGTGTTGTTGGCATTGAATAGACTGCACTATCATGCAGGTTATTAGCCCAGTGATTCTTGAGATAACTGGTCAACCACATATTTGTATCCTCTCAGAAGAAAGACTGGCTGAATAATACCCTCCAGAACTTATAAGAAATAGTGATGATGTTGATTCAACTATTGAATATGAAGAGAACAATGTCCAAGGAATTCACCTATGTGTTTTTTAAGTATATTTAAATTATTAACAATGTAATCGCTTTAAAAAGTGGTTGTAGAAAGTAGAAAACAAAGGAAAGTTTACCACAAATGTTCCAGATCCAACTTGAACAATTCTAAGGGCACCTGAAAATTATTTAAATAATATATTAATGTGAATCTAGAGTCTCCAATAAAACCTTTGATCACAAAAAATCACAATATTTAATTAATTATTTTTATTGGAATGAAGATGATTGACCGTAATTATAATTTATGAAGAAATTGGTCGGGAGTGTGGTCATTAAATAATACTTTATATTATAATAGTATTTTATTGTGTGTATCCAATGTTTCGACTACATTGTAGGTCTTCATCTGGGAATTTCGCCTGGCATTGCTGCATGAAGTTAGGAGAGTGTTGCGAAATTATGAGGATAAAATTCTTAAAAATCATTCTTATTTCAGTTATAGAAGTCAATCAACAAGTTTAAAAAAATATATATCAAGCCATACCTTTTTAGTATATAAAGTATGCACAATTTTTATTAAAATTTAACCCACATAAATAAAGAATTAAAAATGGAATTTCTTTTTTAGTGTGATTGATAAGTTTAATTTAATTTTAATTTTATCTCTTTTGTGTCATTAATGTTTCAGATATTTTTTGCAATTTGAAGCCAGAAGAAGTTTTTCATCTAGAGGAGATCCTGCAATTGATGATATTGCAATGAGTCCTAAATGCTTTGGAATAGGTAATTAATTAACTTTTATATAAACTTTACATATTATTGTTAATTGATGAAGTCAAAAGAAACTAATGTGACCCATGTTAAGGATTAAACATGTACTTGTAGGTGTCCCAAAAGAACATCTACCCAATGAAAATACGACTAATCTGAATCCAGGTAATTTTAAACATTTCTTCGTTATTATTTAAGAAGAAAGTAACATAATCTATTAGTAAACTGATGTATTCCTTTACTAGGTTCCATGGTTCCTCCTCCAGCAGTAACCCATCCAAATTTTGTCAATAGCACATGTAAGCAAATGATTTAGTCAACCATTATTAACTTGAACATAATTAAGTTAATCTTAAATTAAATAATTTCCTTACTCTTCTAGTTTATCACTTTACGACATGTGGGGCTACTGGAAGAACTGGTCCATCTCCTGACCAATGTCATGAGGCTTACAACAATAGTGATGTGAAAGTAGTAGTTATCTCTAAAAAGCCAATGTTGGGAATACAACAATGGATAGTTCCAGAGAGTAATTATTATACGTAAGTATTATTAGTTCATCTTGCTAAATGAGCTTTTAAGTTAGGGCATTAGTCCTAAAAATGGTATAATACCTGTAAAATTGTAAACATATATATTGTTGACACAGATTTAAATCCATAATCAACAATACATACCTATGTTATATAGCATGACATAAATAACTATATACCTATGGCATGAGGTTGTTAATGTGATAAAAAAAATATGAACATGTCAAAGAATAAAAAATCTTTTTTTAAATGGTTTTAAAAACACCAAACCAACCAAACATTTTTCTTTTATTTATTTATTTTTTGTATCTACTTTGTAGGATTATTCTACCATTTCATCTGAAAAAATTCAACATTTATAAACTTTATGTTCATTTTTTTCTAATTAGCCTTAGGCAGATGTGGGGATTCCTGTATTTAGTTTTTCATATTCACAAGAATATTCTTTAAGAGAGTATTCCTTTAGTAATATAATTTGAAAATTAATCAAGATCAAAAATATATGAGGAATTTTATTTAAAATTATTTTATTACTTAAATGAGATGGTTTGAAAGATAATTAAACAAAAACAGAACATCATACTTATACTGATACATTAATGTATTGTTAATAATTGAATAAGAATCAAAATTTAGATACTATAAAGTTATACTGATAAATTAATCTGTTAATAATTAAATAAGAATCAAAGTTAGATATTATAAAGTTATTTTTAAAAATTAACTTTGACCTAGTTTCAGTCATAATATCTGGCTCCAAACATCTAGACATTGAGTAAATAAGAGATCCGACTGCAACTTATGAAACAGAATTCCACAAGAATCCAGCTGTTCACTATTGGAGGCTACAAATTATGTATAATTTGTACCTGTACTGTACTCCATAAGCTATATCTAAATCATGTCAGGATAATAATGTACTTACCAATTAGAAATAGTAATTTCTAATTCCTTTGAGTAATGGTGGGGAGCGGGGTAGCTCAGTGACTTCCACAGCTCAAGGTCAAGGTTTCAATCTGGCTGATGACTAGTAATTTTTCATCAGCCGTGGATTGATCCTGTGGTCGGGAGACCCTCCTGGAGCAACCCAGCCTCTAACCTCTATTTAAAATCTAAGCTCTTAATAAAATAATTAATTAAGGGGAAAACCTGGCGGTTGAGCATGATTTTGGCCTAGTCATCTCCCTGCACAATTGTTGGCCTTGTAACAGTACTTCCTCAGATAGTATTAAACCCATGACCTTTCGTGGGTTGTAATGGTGCAGATTGTTTTTTTTTTTTTTAAGTAATGGCAGTCAATTAAAACCAAACTACATGAAATGATAAAAAGTTATCACCAACAGGACAACTCTAAAAGCTCTGTGACTCAAGATTTTCTCCACAAACCAGATTTCCATAAACCAAATCTCTACTTATTTATAAAGAAAACAGCTGCATTGTTTTAATGTTCAATTGATATGTTGATTACTCCAAATTCACCTTTTTGATGGTAGAATCTGGCACAACAGAGGCTTATTCCATGTACCTGATATTATGATTCTGATTTGCAAAAGCATCTTTCTGAATATTTCATAAAAAGAGATATTGCCCTCCTGTATATATTTCTTTTTTTTATTCTCATTTTTGTTTCACAAATTCATGAAACTACCTAGGTGATGTTCTTAACTTAAAATTATGCTTTTATTTTTAAAACAATAATGATTTATTCACTCAAAACATTGGCTCTGATGTGGATAAAATAAAAATAATTTCCTTTATTTGTAATCCCAAGAATTTAAAATGAATAATCTGTAAAACTTAACATTCCAATAATAATGGATTTATGTTTACTACTAATCTCTCCACTTATGTTAGTTGTTATTTAAAAATAAACACGAGTTGTCTTCTTAATAATTGTATTAGAAAAAATCACTTGATATCATCATAAGCTGAAGAAATCAAAGTGGAATTATGGTCCTTTCTAAAAAATTAGTATTCTAAACCTAATCTGTCAATCAATCAAATCATTAATCTTTACCCAAACCAATTATTGTTAATCTATAAATGAGAAATTTAAATAAAGTTTAAAAAATAAAATTTGGTTTGGACCTTCAAGATAGACAGTTATATAATGTTATAAAATAAATCGTTGTTTTTTTTTCATACATTTAATCATTTCAAGAAATATAGGATGAAATCCAGATGAAAATACTGTTGATTAATTGGTTTATATATTTTAAAACTTCATATCATTGTAATTGCAATTCAATTTTCAGTATCATCGCTAGAGGGGCAAGTGGTGGATTGGGAAGTGGTAACGTAGGACACAGCAGAGGAACCCATGTTCGTTCAGTGATAGAACTTCATAAAGGAACCAGAATATACATACTGGTTGGCCAACAAGGAACAAGAGCATGCTTTAAAGTAATTCTAAATATAATGATGAATTTAAGTTTTCTCAAAATACTATGTAAATATATAATTTGATATATATCATTTTGTATTATATTAAATTACTGATTTTCATCATGGCATGTTTCATAGTTTTAAAGCACAAAATTATTATATGCATATTTTGCATTAATAAAATATTTATTTGTGTCAGTTTGGAAATGTATACATTAAAACAAATTTATAAAGAAAAGTTATATAAATACTCTGCAGTGTAGAACACTCTAAATAACTTTACATTTTCTACGAAATTCTTTAAATATTTTGAAATTTGTTTTCCTCTCTTTGAATTTATGAAGAGTGCAATATTTTTCAAAATGTTAATAAACTCTTTAAAAATGAATATGAATGTTTTAAAAGCTCTACAGTGACTAACTTCTTATAAAGACATTGTGTATTGTTATAACTCTCCAAAACTTCCAATCTCTTTATGGAGAATATGGTTGCAGGAACACTTTATGAAATTAAAACAATTTACTCTTAAAGTTTTATAAAAAAAATCCTAGCTATGATCATTTGAAAATTATCAGTCCCTCCAGAAATGTGGTAGGTGAAACCCCTATAGACCATGTCAATTTAATGTTCACTGAACATATTATTTGCGACATTAATGATGAATATATAACGGAGGACTCATCAAGATTTGAAAATGACCCTTAGTATGGTCGAAATGTCGAATTAAATAGCGTATCAATAAAATGTTTGGTGATAATTGGCCTAAAGACACCAAAATTAGGATAAATGAAAAGAAGAAATATCTCTATTCTTTTTTTAGCAGGATATTTATCAATAAGTTGTAGGTCCTGGATGTTTTCCATTTTGAAGCCTTCTATATCCCAATAAAACTTTATTTTTCTAAATACAAGATAATTATTTCTCATTTTTATATTAGTGTCAAAGTTTTCTTTTTTGATCTTTCTACATCAATCTAATAATGATTTCCTGTTTTTTTGCTGTTTTCTGTTTGTATTTTGAAATCTCGATCCTCATCATTTGTTTCAAATCGAAATGTAGTATCAACTATCAGAGCCTCTTTTCCTCTCACACTAAAGACTAAGATATCTACAAATCTCACTGAGCCTTCCATATCCAGGCAATATACTTCAAGGAAGCATCTATACTTTTTCATCTCCAGGAATTTGGCAATTCAATTCTTAATATTATTGTGCTGACGGGTGACAAGGAGCAAATTATTCGGGCATTAGACCAATACATGAGCTAGGGTTTCTGAATGTCAGCCACATTCGTGGCAGAGAGGTCCAACCTCTCCATTCACCTAGCCTCTGGTCCTTGAAGCTCCATGGAGAGAAACATAGGTAATATTGAATTTGAATGTATTCGTCCACTCTAAGCCCATAAAAATCTTCCTGTCATGCATAAACTTGTCAGCCTATTGGTTTGACTTAAAATGGAGCACACCTATTCCTTGCCACCTACATTTTCCCCAATCCTAAAATGACTTTTCTCTTAGGGACTGTCTAGCTTTCTTGACTGCATGTGAAGCTTCTATATTATTTGCTTCGAAGCCTAACGGATCTGCGCACTTTTGAACTTCACCCTAAAAACCAAAAATCACCTGAAACAGGGCATCTGGTATATTGGCCAATTTTTGGGAAATATACCAATACTGAAAAGAAGCGTCCCACTGACACTGCAAAATACCCAGGACCCTATATCACCATGGTGCATACATCATAGTCAAGCACGTGCTGACCGGCATACTGATCATCATATTAACACTTCTTTGTGTTATGACGGCTACAGATTCCAATAATGATGAGGACAATTTTGTTAATTGCATTGTCTGTACTGGATATATTAAAAAACGAAATATATATCCTTTTACTATGTTGAATTTCTGATCTGGCTTAAGGAAATTCGACTTAATTAGTTTTCCTTATTTCGACTCATCTTACCCACAGATTTATTATCAAATTCCAGCTCACCAGAGAAACAACTGCCAAGGAATTTGATGGAGTCACCTCCTTCAATTGAAGTTATTTCCTCCCCAGTATCCAAGCAGAACTTTGACCTTATCAATCTTCCCTTCTTCAATATAATGCCAGAATTTTTTTGGAGATTGATGGATAATGGAACTAACAGAACATTTTCTGAAAGCGGTTAGTTGTTCTTTCTGCAGCTTCAACATTATGAGCAGTCACTGCTTGGTCATTTATAACTATAGAATGATTAGGAAATACAAATATATCATTAGAAGTGACAGCATCCTATTTATCAAATCAATTCTCATCTTTTACTGATAATATTACAATTTTCAGAGTTTCTCGAGCCACAAGAAAACTCCTTGTCAAGACTCAAATCATTCAAGTAAAAGTTATAAAGATAAGCTTGCTGAAATTTCAAAGTTACCATTTCTCTCTGAGGGTGGAGGTGGTGGTGGCGCAACTTATATATTTACTGTAAGTTATACATTTTTAATTTACATTATTTTTGTATGAGTAATTAATATGATTTCTTTTTTAATTATATTTTATGGGTGATAAATAAGATGCAGCCAGTTATAAGGTTTTTATTACACTATTGTATACATGTTAATTTAGATATTGTTTTTGTTCGATGATTTTTATTCCATAAACAATAATGTTACCCAAACCCCCTGATTCTGTTTCCCTATCCTTGTTATCTTAAAAGCACATACGGAAAATCCTCCCCCGACCGTCTCAGCTACCTAATTAGGTAGCAGTATTTGAACATCTTCAGTGTTGGTAGCATGGTCAATAATATTAAATATTAGATTTATTATATATTGTAATGTCAACATTACATAGGTTTTTGAATATTGGCGCCAAGGTGGTAACATTACGAACTACTGACAGGAAGTGCTGATGGTGGGAGAAGCAAGCTCATATAACGGCAGAAGGTGATGAGCCAGCAAGTCGAGAAGATCTAAAAGGAGTACTAGCCTGTTCGAGTGTTAATAGAGGCCACTAGTGGAGATTATTTTGTATTGGAAGAAAGAACATAGTGAAAATTAATTCAGTGGTACCGAAAACGGAACATTCATAAATAAGAATAGTTTATTTCACTGACAGGCATAAACATTTGGGTGAGTGCTAACAATGCCATTTATGTTGACAGAGGGATAGAGCCACAAAGTTTAGACCGGGACAATCAATGTTTTTGAAAACAATTATAAATTTTATATGTATAATTAGTGTTGTTAGTAATTAGTAAATTAGTGTAGCTTACAGTTATTTAATGTTGAATGAGTGTTCAGTTGTCAGAACCCAACCTGAAAATTTATATCTATGTGTGAGAAATAAATTTTATATTGAAAAAGAAACTCCTTGTTTGATTTTGGAGGGAAAGAGGACATTACAATATATTACTTTATAGTTTGTATAGCTTATGACTAGAGATGGGCAATTCCGACTACAGCTCAGAATTGTATTTTCCACCACCGGAATTTGTTCCAGCTCTCATTCCGTTCCATCTTCATTCTGAACAACACATGGACTGTGATAGAGAATAATGAAAAAAATATGCATAATACTAAAACTATTTAAAACGACTGAAAAATCATTGAGGCTGAGGAAAATGAAGATAAACGAAGAGGAGTGCAGAAAAATGAAGAAAAAGAAAAACAAACTGGAAGTTTTAGGAACATTGATGAGAGCTTGAGAGTAACATTCTTCAAATGGTACATCTGAATCGAAGGCAATGATTGAATTAAACAGGTACTTAGAAAAGGATATTTTATACGAAAACGAGGACTCTATTAAGTGGTGGTTTAGTCTGCAGAACAACTAACCTAATTTGCATATCATTGCCAAAGAAATGTTGATTATATGAAATGAAAGTATATTTTAATATTCTGGGACTGTTATCCCTTTAGAACAAATTATAAGTACAGAATACATATAGGTGTGGTCATAAATAAATTAAATACATAAAATAATAGTTATTTAAAGTAAAAATACAGAAGAGAGAGATAAGACAAGAAAAGCGCACACATATGTAAAACAGTAAAAGGAAACTAAAATAATAGAAATAGTTTCTGGGAGCTCTTCGTATAACTCTTTTAGGTATATTTCATAATCAATCGGATTAAGAATGGAGTAGGTGTTTAAAAAGGAGACGTTTGAAAGAGGAAACTGATTGTGTGTGTTAAATATCAGCAGGGATGGAATTCCAGAGGGAGGCGGCTTGAATTGCAAATGATTTGTCAAACGCAACAGTTCAGTGAGTAGGAGGATAGAGGTCGGAGGTACGAGATCTAGTGGGACAGGATTGGATGGAGTATTTAAATTGTAAGCTGTGAAAAATATAGAAGGGTAAATGATTTCTAATGATCTGGTACAGAAAGGTAACTAGGAAGTACTGACGGCGATAGGATGGATAGAGCCACTTCAACTCGGTAAAATACTGGATAATATGCGTATCTCTTGAGATTCCGAAAACAAAACGTAATGTACAATTCACTATAGTGACCAATTTGTTTAAATACCATGTCAATGAATCTTTTCAAAAGTGGCATGTTGATTAAGGAACATCTGACTCAACTATCAGCTGGTAAAGTAAAAATAGCAGTTCAAATCCCAATTTTTGAATTAATTTATATAAAAATTTTACCGTTTTGTTTTTAGGACAAATCCCTTTTGTACCTATCGGACTTTCCCACCTAACATTTACCCTTAGAAACATAAAGACATTTATATTCTTAGATTAAGTTCTGGCGAAACAAATCTTTTGAGGTTCTCATTCCGTTCTGAACTTTTCGAGAGGTGGGATTCATTTTTTTCGCTCAATATCAACTTTGTATAATGATTAAAGTTACTACAACATGTACATATCTAAAAATGGCATTTCTGATTCTGATCTTCCAATTGCCATTCAAATTTGCCATTTACCACAAGATGGGCCTTGGAGTAAATGGTAAATAAGGTAAATGGATAGAAAAATATAATTTTTCACATTCATTACTTTAACATGGTGCCGACAATATACTATACCATATTATATCTCTGATGCTATAAATTATTCAGCCCTAATGATGAACCACAAGCTTAGGTTGAAATGTTGGTAACCAAAATCTTAAAACCTGACTGTGTCCTGACTATTTATCACCCATGATAGATAGAACAGTTGACTAACTTCCTTCAATTATTCATATTTTAATTGATTCATTAAATGAAATATTTTTGTTGTGCTTTTCACAATTTGTATTAAATGAGAGCTCCTCGTTATAGAATTTCAATAGAAAGATGTAATTACTTCACAATTTGATTTTTTTATTTTGTAATTAAGGTATCGAGGAAAGGAGAGAGAACACCTTTGGTTGTTGCTGGAGGTGGAGGTGGGCTGGCTCACAAATCATCTCATTCTAACAACCATCATAAGGACTCGATACAGCATGGGCATGGAATGAACAAGACTTTGCCCCCTACTTCAGGAGACCAACATGGACCACAATCAGCAGGTTAGGCTCCATATTCTATAATTTTATCAGATAATTTTACAGCCCCATGTCTGTCATGTCATTATATCATGTATCACCTTCACATTTGCTGATTGTCAATAATAAGTTGACAAGCGCCAATATATTTTTGAAAGACAAAAAAAAAAAACCTCATTCGCGGGCCGGGATGGCTGATAACCAAGTTACAGACAACCCTCTAGCCCAGGAAAAACCCCATGTAGACTAAAAGGTGATGAAGGGGAGAACAAAAAAAAAAAAAAAATAAGCTCAGTCACTAACAGTCATAAAAAATTATACTTCCTTCAAAAAGGAAGAATAAATCTGTACCAATATAATCCATGAAGCATTTTGGATTAAATATTTTGTTAGAAACTACTGTTTCAAAACTAATAATTGTGGAGGGAGGTGATCAGACCAAGATCATGCTTAACTGCGAGGTTTTCCCCTTAATTAATTATTTAGAAGAGAATAGAAAATAAACTTTATTCTGGAACGAGGTCCCTTAAGAATAATAATTATGAACAAAAAAAAAAACACATCTGGCCAAAAATTACATTAATCAAAATTAAAGAATATATAAAGTATCTTTAGTGAAAGTATATTATTATTTAAATGAAAAGAAAAACAGAAATCAGGTAAAATAAAATACAAAATATTATGAACACTATGGGTTGATTTTTAAAATTAAAACTCAAAACAATTTCAACAACCATTCACCTCAGTCAAAATTTAATTCATAATATTTATTTCATTGTACGTCATTTTGGGATGTGAGAAGGAATTGGTAGAGATGATATTTGGATGAGGACAAGGAAGGGGCATGGCGGATATCAGATGGCAAGGAATTTCAGAAGGCAGTGGATCAGGCAGTAAAGGAATATTCAAATGTCTTAGTTCTATGGGAAGAGATATGAAGGTAGGAAACTCGGGGTCTTGTTTTCTGGGAGTGAATCACGGGTTTGAACTGTAGATGTAGGAAGGACGTCAGGTTTTGATCGTTTGGAATAGAAAAGATCCAAGGAAATATTGTCTGCGGAAAGAAGGGAAGAGCTACTTTGACGTCATAAAGGTGGGACACATGCGACCGCCTCAAAGTAACGAAGGCAAATCTTAAGCAGGAATTCATGAGTCGCTTCAATCTATCCTCAAGTACCATCAGGATTCCTCCATACACCACACAGCCGTAGTCAAAGTAGGAGAAAATGAGAGAGGATACAAGGAGCTTGCGGATAGATTATGGGAGTAGGTGGCGGGAGTGATGAAATAACTTAAGGGCACCTTTTGACTTCCGAGAGATGAGGGCGATATGAAGTTTTCAGGAGAGGTTTTGGTCAATGGTGATTCCAAGGTTTTTTAAGGAGAAGCTGAATATGATGAGGTGATCGTTGATGACTAAAGGAGGAAGGAAGGAGATGGTTTTAAGAATAGGACTTCAACCTATAATAATGGCCTGAGTTTTCATCCTGTTTAGCTTTAAATTATTCAGATTTCCCCTGGCACTGATCCTATCTAGGTCTGCCTGAATATTGGTGAATGTGACTAATAGCTTAGAAGAGTGAAAGGATAAATTTGGGAATCATCAGCGTATAAATGATGTGTGTGAACAGTGGTAGTTAGATTTGGGAAGATCATTTATTAAAAAGAAGAGGATTAAAAAGGAGGCTCGAATCCTGGGCCACTCCGGAAGACAGCATAAGGAAGGAAGATAGGTGTTGGTTTGGAATACTGACTGCTTGAGTCCTGTCGGAGAGAAAAGATAGAAACCAAAGGATAGAGCTGTTGGAGAAGGATAGAGATTTTAATTTAGTGTAGAGTATAGAATGATCTAAAGAGTCAAAAGCTTTGGAAAAGTCTAGAAGTATTAACACAGTTAGCATTTTTCCGTCCATTGCGGTATGTAAGTCATTGCTGATTTTTAGTAGAGCAGATTGTGTGGAGAAGGCAGGACGAAAACTAGATTGGAGGGGATCAAGTAGTTTTTAATTTTCAAGGAATTTAAATATTTGGGATTACAACATACCTCACCAACTACAATTTTTTATTTTTATAAAAAATAAATTCCAGAAAAAATACCAGCTCACCAGGAACATAAAGTATAAATGCCTCTTTAACAAATTAAATGCCTACGTAAAAATTCGTTTAAAGAGTTGGAGGAACTTAAAGTGGCAGGAAATTCTTAGAGAACTGTCCCCTGGTAGTAAAAAATTTTGGAAAATACACAAAATTCTAACAAATCGTCCCCACCATATCCCTCCAATCAAACTATGAAACAATTTCGCCTATTCTAATATAGAGAAGGCAGAAGCTATGACAAACTATTTCACATTAGCATCTAATATTTCGGCTGATCTAGGCACCAACAACCACAATCGAACTATCATTAAATCCGTAAAAAGCTTTCTTAAAGAACCAGTTCCAAATACATTCCCTTCAATCTCATTCAAAGAGGTGAAACAGGTTATAAAGCAGTTAAAAACTAAAAAATCGCCCGGTCCAGAATCTATACCTCCAATTGCCATTAAGAAATTAAGCAAAAAGGCTATTTTATTCCTAACAAAGACATATAACTGTATGCTTCGCTTTAGATATTTTCCGACGGCTTGGAAAACAGCAAAAATCATAACGATCCCGAAGCCAAACAAAGACCCAGCAGATGTTCGTAGTTACAGACCAATAAGTCTACTTAACATAATTTCAAAACTTTTTGAAAAACTACTTTTAAAAAGAATCCTGAGCCATATATCTCAAAATAGTCTGATATCTAACTAGCAATTCGGGTTCAGAAAACAACACTCAACAGTAGCCCAAATAGCCAGACTGACCGACTATATTAAACTATAGTCTTAATATTAAAATTAAACGGTTTCATATCAATCACCAAACAAGTAACAATAAACTCAATCACTCCAATCAACAAATTGTATTTATATGATGTGTGTATGTATATATATCTATCTATATATATATATATATATATGTGTGTGTGTGTGTGTGTGTGTGTTGTATGAGTAAGTATGTGTATGTGTGTGTGTAAATATATATATATTTTCCTTTTGCACATAAATTATATTTAGTTTTCTTGCACTTTTAATGATTGTAACATAATTTTTTTTCATTTATATCTTATGTAGGTTTTTATGAGATTTTTCCTACTGTAAAAAAATTTCAATTTTCTAAGTAGTATTCAAACCACTGTTATGTCAAGTGTAAGGTTACTACAACCATAAACTTGTAACTTATCTGTATGACATGTTGTAATGTATATATACATTACATTAAAAAGAATCCTGAGCCATATATCTCAAAATAGTCTGATATCTAACGAGCAATTCGGGTTCAGAAAACAACACTCAACAGTAGCCCAACTGTTTCCTCTATTCTTTCCAGAGGTTTAGAAAGGTTAGAGAGACTGGAGATTGGGCGGTAGTCTTTAGGAGAAGTAGGATTGGGGATTTTGTTAATAGGACTGGCTAATGTTTTTTTCCAAGCAGCAGGAAAAACTGAGTTCTGGAGGGAAAAATTATAGATGAAGAAGAGAACAGGAAGGACTTCGGAAAGGCATAATTTAATTAAGAGTATCCTCTTTATAGAGGCTGGATGTGCCCAGGAGGGTCCTTATTCTGATTATTTATTATTATTAAATATTCTTCAAAAGTATTTTAGTATTTTTGTATGTCTAAATATAATTTTATAACAAATTTAAGGTCATTTTAAGGACCAAAAATTTGTCCTAGAAATTGTAAGTACCTCAGACTTTATAAATCCTTTTACATAGTTAAGTTTCTCAAACAAAGTTGAGATTGTGGTTAGCATATTTTTCCACTACATGTGCTGAGAATTGAGATTGTGATGGCCAAGATAAAAGACTTGGAACATACATACAAAATTAAAAAGACAAGAACTGACTAGACAATATAACCAACTCTCACATCTTCTAGACTACAGATCCTCACTTACAAAGCAAGATACTAATCTATAATAATATACTATGACCAATTTGGACATATGGAGCAGAACTTTGGGGTTCAACACAAACTCACTTAAATCACAAATAACACGATACAAAATTCTACAAAAAATTGTAAACGCACCTTGGTTTCTTTTATATAACACTATACATAACATCTTAAACATTCCAATAGTAAAATCCTACATCCATGACAAATACACTGCATTTTATTCTTCAACTCAAAATCACTTAAATCTACTAATTCTTTCAGTTTCTTTCTCCCTGTTGGAGAAGAGACCTACTTCTTCAATAACAACAAAATTAAAGTCTGTCAAGCAAATTCACAGATAATAATCAGTAAATCAAATTTGGTAGATGTGTTACTGAGCAGGTGCAAATGAAGTAGAAGATTAAAAAAAAAAATATATATATATATATATATAATTATAGTAATTAGTTTTCTTCTTTTATTACATGCTTGTAAATCTATAAATGTTAGATATGTTTATTTTAATGATTAACTATAACATTATCATCCTTAGGAGCTGGTGGTGGCTGGTTTCGCTCAAATCATACAAACGATGAAAAAACTGGTTATGCTTTGGCTCAAGGTGGTTATGGAGGTAAAGCTTGTTATAACAGCACTGATAGTCAAATGGGAGCTGGTGGCTTTGGCGGAGGTGGGGGTGGATGCACTGCTGGAGGTGGAGGAGGAGGCTACACAGGTCAGCAATCTTTGAAATGAAATGAAAAATAATGTTATTCTGGAACTAAAGTCCGCTAAGAATAATAGCAGAGTTCAAAAAATATATTCACCAGTCTGGCATGTACATGTAACACAAATTTATAGAAAAATTCTAAGAAAAATACAAAAAATAATAAATAAATAAAAATAAAATCTTTATTATTTAAATTACAAAAACTTAAACCGTTTGTTAAATTTTTATTTAATTTTTTTTATCCAATTTAAAAATAGATCTGACAACAATAATCCTGTGATCTATCTCTAATTAAAAGTTTGTTCCTGTACTTCATTTTAACTGCAAATGATATTTACAGAAAGCTAAACAGTTTTCCAGATCGAATGATGTTTATTGCTTCAATCCTATAAAACATAATGTGATATTCTAAAGCCTTCTTCAGTTATTCGTTTATCTAACAAAGAAATAATTTTTTTTAATCTAACTGGCAGTTTCTGATGTACTACAACAAACTCTTCAGCTTTATATATTAGTATTCACACAACGGCATAACAACTTGTCATCGGGCAGCGTCAAGTAGCCTCCATCTGTTGGCCCTGTCCTGTGCAAGAGTCCTAGCATCCTCAGTCACACCATCCATCCATCTTATGTTCGGTCGTCTCACTCTGCTTGTCTCTAAGGTCTCTTCTATGGCGACTTTCTTCGGAATCTCACCTTTGTCCAATCTGGCTAGATGGCCTGCCCATCGAAGTCTTTCTAGTTTTATGACTTTAATGATCTCGCTTCAAAGAGCCTGTACAATTCTTGGTTCTTCCGTCTTCTCCATGTCTCACCTACTTTAATCCTCCTCAATATCCCTCTTTCGAACACCAAGAGCCGGTTTTCATCTTACAGACTATAGTTTTGTACAGGCTGATTTTTGTCTTCCTTGAAAGATACCAGCTCCTGAAGTTTTTGGATACGCTGTAGTAGTACCTGTTAGTGATTATTATCCTATGCTTAATTTCTTAATAGATATCGTTCTGGGAGTTTATCTCACTTCCCAAATAAACAAAGTTATTGACCATCTGGCATCTGTACTGTCCTACCTCAAAGCACTCCTCATCGTTTTCTAGCCCTCCAATCTACACTATAGTTTAATCTATACTATACTTTTTTTTTGCTGATTTTTCTCTTAATCCAACTTTTTTACAGCTTCCTAGAGGGCGAGAAATGTTTTTCTTATGACTCGTTTGGATCTGGTCATTATGTCAAAAGCAATAATGTCTTCAGCATATTGGGAAATATCCCAAATAGGAACAAGGTCCCACCAATCTGAATACCTGATCTCTTGAGAGCTCTTTCTGCGGCTAGGCTGAAGAGCAGGCATGTGAGTACATCTTCTTGCCTCACTCCATTATCTGCGCAGAACTCCTCCAAAACATTGGCTCCAATACATATTACCCACATTGAGCTCCTCATGGTCATTTTTACAAATCCCGTCAGCTTTTTAGGTATTTCCTCCATTTTCTCAAGAATCTGGTACAGCTTCATCCAATCTATACTGTCGTACACGGCCTTGAAGTCGACAAAGAGATGGTGAGTCATGACCTGGTGCTCCTTTAAATTCTTAAGTTTCATTCTTAATGAGAAAAGCTGGTCAATGGTTGATCTACCTCTTCTAAAGCCTGACTGGTAATTCCCTAATTGTCCCTCAGCAAAGGGTGACAGCCATTCAAAGAGGAGACTTGATAGAATCTTGTATGCACATGACGGAGTTTAATTTCAAAATAGTTTCCGCAGTCGGACTGATCTTCCTTCTTGTGTACCGAGCATATTACAGTTTTCATCCAGTGCTCCAGCATACATCCCTGCTTCCAGATTGTTACTATCATACTGTGGAGTTCCTTCCTTAGCTCATCCCCACTGTATTTCAAGAGTTCTGGCTGGATCCCATCAATCCCAGTTGCTTTGTTATTCCTTAGCTTCCTGATGACTTCCTCTATCTCATTCTTGTCTGGGGGCTCAGAGCCATCAACTAGAGCTTGTTCCTCTTCTTTAGCGGTTACATTTAAATCCTCTGCTCTGTTAAGTGCTGTCTTCATCTTCTGAGTACATCCTCTGTTTTTGTGAGGAGGTGACCAGCCTCATCCTTATACCATGTGACTTTTGATTTTGCTCCTCTTCCTTCATTCACTCTTTGGAAAAAGAGTTTGCACTCATTATTACTTTGAAGGTTCTCGATTTCCTCCATCTGCTTGTTCTCCCATTCTCTTTTCTTTCTTTTTTGCAGCCGTTTCTCTTCTCACAATTGATCTCGTTCGTGCTTCTGGTATGCCTTTGAACTCTTTTGTTATATGCCTTGTTCTTGTCCTTGGTAGCTTGAAGGCACTCATCATCAAACCACTGAGACCTTTGTGATTTTGGCCTGGGTTGCAGTGCCTCCTCTGAAGCTACTTTGATGAAATCAGAAATTCCCTTCCATTGTTCATCAAGGCTGGAGTCCGCCCCCCTCCTCCCCGTGGTTCTTCTGTGAACTTCTTTAAGAGTTTTCGCTGATATTTTTCCTGTTGTTCTGGTTTCTTTAGCTTCTCAGTGTTGAACATCTTCTTGTCTTGTTTCCTCGGGGCTTTCTTGAAAGGAAACTTTGAGTGGATTCTCGCTGTGCTGAGGTAATGGTCGGTATCCATGTTAGCTCCCCTATATGTTCTGTTACTTAGAAGTTCAGATTTTTATCTGGAACTTATGAGGAGATGGTCTATTTGGTTGGCCACTTTTCCATCCGGGTTTCTCTAAGTTTGCTTGTGAATGTTTCTTCTTTGGAGTAGCATTCTTCCTACAACTAGTCTTTGCTCGGCCGTGAAGCTTACTAGTCAGTGCCCATTGTTGTTGCTTGTTTCATGTGAATTATGTCTCCCGATGGGCTGATATGCCTGTTCTTGGCCTACTTGGGCATTGAGGTATCCAAGGATTAACTTCACATCTCTGTGAAGGCATTTGTTTAGAGCTTTGCCAAGGTCTTCTTAAAAAAGGCCCTTATCCTCTTGTGTGGCAATCTCAGTTGGTGCATGGCAATTTATGATGGAATAATTAAGGAATTTTCCTATGAGCCTGATGTAGCATAGACTTAGGCTATATGGAACAAAATGTCTTAAGAGTTGCCTGGCTCTTCCTCTGACAACAAATCCAGTTCCAAAAGCATGATGGGTTTCATGGCAGCTATAGTATATGGTGTGCCATTCATTTCTTGTATTCCTATCTCCAGCCAGCGGATTTCCTAGATTCCTAATATGTCCACCTTGTATAAGTCCAGTTGCGTAAAGAGATTCCGTATAGCCCTGAGTCGGTTAAGTGTTAAAATGTTCCAATAACCTATACGTAGATCCTTATGGCATTTCCTGGGTTGTAACAATTGAGACAATCCAGCTTCTTTCATTTGAGGATTTGTAACAGTGGTTGTTTAGGAAGTGAGGGTAGTCAGCTCTCGACTCCCAAGTCAGGAGGAGGGGCTATCTCCTTTGAGCTAGGTAGCGCTCCCCCCATCCCGAGCGGCTACCTAGGGTGTGTACTGTTGATAACCTTCGTCTGTGGTGTGAGGGTGAGTGCAGTGGCTGTATTAGTGTACTGTATGAGTGTGAGTATACTGTTCCCCCAACAGTGGTGGGCCTATGGATGTCTGCGGGATTATGACCGGGCGATGGGATCGCCACTTCTCTATGCCTAATATATTAGTATTAATGACTTTATTTATGTTATTTATATTTTTTCCTATTTTATTATTCAAGTACATATCTCATTATAAAATAATTCATTATAGTTTTTGTCTCAAAAATTATATTTATGTTTTATTTAAATAAAGCCAGTAGTAGTTATCCAACATGTTTTGACTCTAGTATACTTGAAAATTGTACTCGAAACTATGCAATATCTTGTGAAAAAAACTCTGTTACTTACATCCATGAGTTTTTTTGCGGAATCTGTTGAAATTCAAGAGTTAATTAGGATCAGGTTCTTTATACCAATGTTTGTGTTTGTTCCTTGTGTAAGTTGTGAATTATTCCATTGTTTATTTTTGTATCATGAGTGTGATTTTCTTCAAATTGTGGATGTTATTACATTCTGGAAATTGACGTCTTCAGAAGAAGAGGCTATCGAATATTTTCAAAATGGCGAGATAATTTCAAACGTGAAATTGTGTGAAGAAGTTCATCAAATGAAGTTAGGCAGGAAGACGAAATTGAGATGCTTTCGTACCGCTTGTAACAAAAACGTTTCTATAAAGAAAGAAACGTGTTGAGGGGTCGAGGATTTCTTTTTTAACAGCTTTAAAATTAATTGATGGGTGGTCCCATAATTTAACAACAATGCAGTGGAGCAAAGAGCAGCTGAAACTATCAAAGGCAACTATGATAATGTGGAACAATTTTTTAAGAGAGGTTTGTGCCAATAACATGTTATACAGGTCAAGTAAAACAATTAGAGGGCCTGGTGTTGAAGTAGACGAGAGCCTTTTTTATAAAAGAAAAAATCATGTAGGGAAAGTTCTACCTGAGCAATGGATGTTTGGCGGAGAAACAGACGAGTGTTTTATCCTCAAAATAAACGACAGAAAGGTAGCAACTTTATTACAAGGTATTAAAAACAATTTATTCTGACTGTTGGAAAGGATACAACATCCAACAATTGAATGAAGCAAACTATAATCATTTCGGGGTGAATCACCGGTATAATTTTGTTTATCCATCAAGTGGTGTCCATACTCAACCCATAACACGATTATGGGGTTCAGCTAAGTGGAAAATAAAAAACATAGAGGAACTGCCAGAAAACACGTCTATTCATATTATTCATATTTATGTAAATTTTTGTGGCAGCGGACTCACAGAGAAGAGGGACCCGTTCCTCGCTACTTTAAACTGCATTAAACTATTTTTTCTGCCAAAATAAATGAAATGAAATTAAAATTGTTTTATATGTACATATGTTGTTTACAGTGTTTCTTTGATATCTACATATGTTGTTTAAGTTTTTTTTTATTATTACATTTCATATTTGTTGTAAAATTAAAGTGTTTTCTTATTATTGTGGGAATTATTACATTTCTTTTTGTCTATTTCAATTTCAAATCAAACTGTTTTGTTATTATTACATTTGTTTCCATCTATTTAATATATATGTTGATATATGCTGTAAAATAAAAGTATTTTTTTATCATTACATTGGTTTTTGTTTTTGTTTAATGTGATATGAATATAATACAATAATTTATTAATACCGAGATAATAATTATCAGTATCTTATCAGAATTATCGGTGTTCAAGTTATAAACATTGGCAGACAGCAGTTGGTCCCAACCAGCTATCAGACAAGTACTCACATGATTTATTACATAGTAAAAAAAAAAAATATTTAAAGTAAAAATAAAATGGTGAACAATTATGAATTTGTCTTATTAATATTCTATTTTAGGCATTTAATAGTTTAAATTTTAGAGAATACATTTAGTTTATGAAAAATTATGATTTTCATAAAATATTAAATAATAAACTTGTTCCTGATAATTATTCCTTTCTCCTATATATAACATTGTATATAACATACACCAGGCGGTGGAGCATGGTCACAAAAAGGTGATTATGGAGAAGGCGGTTATTCTTGGATTCAAGATGGGATGCTGCAAGATATAGTTTCTGGAGGCAGTGAATCTGGTCCTGGAGAGGCCTACATAATTCCAGCAATAACCGGATGTGATTGCCAATACAGATGTATTGCACTAGATACCATTCGGTCTTCAGTTCTCTGTATCTGCCCTTCAGGATGGTATCTCGGCAATGATTCAACATCATGCATTTGTAAGATTTTTTTCATCTTTATTGTTGTTTCTATTGATTGAAACCTCTAGATAAAAGTGATTCTTATAAATAACAGTACACTTAAGTATGTGAAAGCTATAAAAAATATTATTAGCAAAAATAATCACATTCAGCAATGTCAATTTTAGCTTTATGAAAAATAAATGACCTTTGGTTTTAATTTTAATTACCATATGAATTATTTGAGCTAAAATAAAAATATCACTTTTGTCTTAAAATAAAAATCTGAAAGAACAGAAACTAATATCATTTCTTTGTTTTAGTGAGTCATTCCAAACCTGAATTTTCTCCATTTTTAAAAATATTTTTGTTTACAATGCTCGGTGTGGTTCTGGTCAGTGGAGCAATCATTTGTTCTGTCTTATGTATGTAAACATTTCACATGTTTTACTTATTCTAATAACAAAAAATTAACATATTTTTAATATTTTCAATTTGTTTAAAAAGATAATCGATACCAGAAGAAGAAGAACTCTATATTAAGACGACAAGCAATATCTGGACCTGATTTACAATTGAATAGGCTGAGAGTTGCATCAGATAGTATGATGACTGAATATAATCCAAACTACGAATTTGGTGGTAATGCTATAAGCATAAAGGATCTTAAAGAGATTCCTAGAGAACAGCTGCGCCTCGTAAAGTAAATAATTATATTTAGAAAATTAATGTTTACATTTTTATCTTTTACAATCATAAATATCGATATGGTTGAAATCCCCACAATGTATCTGCATATGATGATATTTTCAGACAAAGGGGAAGTGAAAGTAAAAATTATAGACGCTATATTTATTTACATTTCATTGTGGGTATTTTTATTTGTATAAGTACCCTCATATATACAAAGGAGGATAATAGTCAGAAAATTATTATCCTTCTCCAATAGTTCCATCTTTTGGTTTCAATCTTTCCTTTCACAACGTACCCAAGCAGTCTCCATACCCAATCAACTTCACATCTCTTGACGAACAATTTCCACCCTCAAACTATTCCATCACTTTTACTATCTCCTACCTCACGGGCGGATCTACGGGGGGGGAGGGGCTTTCGGGCTGAAGCCCCCCCCCAAAATGGAAAAATATAACCATGTTTTATGGGAAAAAAATTTAAAAAATACCTCTTAAAGTATTATTGTTCGTGTAATTACATTTAAAAGTACTTAAGGAATAGCTTAAACACCATTTCATATAGGTAGTTAGTTTCTTTCTGTTTTTCCAAAGTAATTATCGTTATTTTTATGGAAAAAAAGGTTTCGGGCTGAAGCCCCCCCAAAATTAAATCCTGGATCCGCTAGTGTCCTACCTCAACATACGCATAGACTCCTAGTTTCCTCTTTTATTTTTCCCACTTTCACTACAGCTGTGTGGTTTATGATGGCTTCTCTGTGAAGCTCTGCAATAGACTGAAAAGGCTAATGAACAGCTGCATAGGATTTTTAATTGGGGCCCCAAGATAATCTTATGTCTCTCACCACTACACTGAGTTAAAGTGGCTTTTCCCCTCCTTCTGAAGACAATATTTCGTAGGTACATTCCTCTACTAAATCATCCTTCTTACACCTACAACCTTCTCCAATTCAAATCCTCAGTCCATTCCCTTTCCACAAGATCTCGACCTTTTAACCTTTACATGCCTTCTCACTTTTACATGCCTTCTCACAGACCTGCCTCATCCCAAAACTCCTTTATTGCTCCCTCTGTCAATTTCTGGAATTCCCTCCCTGTCAAAATTCAACATTACCTCTCCATATCTATGTTCAGAACCCTCCTATTCCAATTCCTATCCCAAAAACAGTCAGATAGTTGCTAACCATTCGATAACATACATTTATTTCATGACATTCATTGTCAAATATCAATACTGTTCTTTGCTAGGGGTATTAATTTTCTTATAGGGTAAAGATTTTCCTACTCTTGATGTCACTGAACGCATCTATTAGTTGCTTATAACTATTATCTTTTATACACCATTAAATTCTTGCCTATCGTTACGTTAAGAAATGATTATGATATTATGATATTTGACTAAGCACAGACATTGGTTCATTACTTTTTTCATTAAATAGATATCCTAATAAATGGAAAACAGGCATAAAATCTTAATCTATTCTATGAACAGCAGGAAATTATTTGTTAGTTTCATGATTATGGATAAGTGCTAACTGTAGAAGATATACTGATGAAAAGTTGGTAGGGGTTTTCTGTCAATTTAAGTACAAAGTGAAAATAAATAAATTACATTTATTTTTATTTCCTATGTGTCTAAGTTTCATGCTTTTATCAGGACTAAGCCAAGAAAATATAACAAGAAAATTCTATACTATTTTCTCAATATTTATATGTTATCTTGTCTTTGTTTAGCCTTGATGAAGGCATGAAATTTAGGTCAAAACATCTGCATAACGGAAATAAAAATTAATATAATTTATGTTGTGGACTATCCACTAATTTTGTTATGTTTGAAAAGTGGATTATGGCAACACTGTTTTTGATGGGAGGACACCAGACTCAGTGTAGCTTGGGCAAGCATGGAGGTTACATGTGATGTACATAATGCTAATACTTTAAAAGTAATAAAGTGCTCTATCCCTGATCATAGTTTTATTGTATTAATGAACCCCAGCAAGAACATAAAAGTGGCGACGAGGATGGGATCGGGGGTGTGAAGATTAATGACATGTGTGATCATCGAGCACCGCACAGGTTAATTTGTTTACATTTTTAGTGTCATCTAAAATGTCCTTTCCAAAGTACAATTACTCGAAATCTGAGAGCTGGATTGAACATCTGAAGAAATTTCAATTCGGGTTGGACACGAAAGGAGAAATCACGGAAGTTCAAAAACGTGGTTGGTTGATTGGATTGCACCGAAAACTGAGAGAAGTGGCCTATAGTGACTTGGAGAAGACATTGAATGAAAACATCGCTGGATTATATCCGATGGTGAGTTATACTAAGTTTGTCAACAGAAAACAACTAAGCACAGAAACTGGTGTTTATAAAGGACCTCCTGTTTACCAGAGTGCTCGTCAGGTACCATTTTGTTTATTAACCTGTATGGAGCAGGGAATTAAATCTAGCAATGAATAGGAAATTGTGACACAAGATTGTGACAACCTAGTAACCCAATTTTTTGCGAATATAACTGAAGTCCAAGAAGCTACACTGGCTGAGAAACCTTCTAGTAATAAACAGAAAGTATTGAAACAGGATTGTGATAGCCTGGAAACCCGAATTATTGTGAATGTAGCTGAGGTTCGGGAAGCTACACTGGCTGAGAAAACTTCCTTTGGTCGCTCAGAAGGTGATTAGAAGCGAACGGTTGCTGAAGAGCTGAGCGATATCAATTCTCCAATTGATAATGGATCAGGAATCTCTTGAGCAGAAAGAAAGAAATCCTTGAAGAAAAATTAATGACAGCCAAGGTCCCTGTAGAGATTCATCCAGTTAATGTTGTAAATACCAGGAAGGAACTTCTCGAGTTTCGAATCGAGTTCAGAGAGGTGAGGTCCAGCAATGAAAAGTATGATAGTTCTTTTAGTCCAAAAATGCCTTTGATTCTAGGGAAGACAACTCCAGCTTTAAAAGATGAATTAGGAAAATTCGAAGACTGGGGTAGTGAAGGAGCAGGATTGTATGAGGAGTCGTTGCAAGGACTTACTGGATATGATTTTGTGTATAATGGACTACCAGTCACCCTACTCATTCTAAAATATGAGTTTTATGGAGGTTATATGATCCTGGATCATGTTAGGGCAGGTCGCTTACTATGTTATAGTGAGACATGGTAGTCTTTATCCTATTCCAGAGGATAAAAAAGGGTTTTAAATTAGCGTGCTTTCCATTCACGAGCTAGAAGGTCCTGGTGAAAACACCGTTTGATAATCCGAACTGGATAACTTGTAAATATATTGTGTATACATCTTTGTAAATAGTATAATTAGGTTGTTATTATAGATAAGATTAGGATTCTAATTATAAATTTTATGAACAGAAGGTAATGGATCTCAGAGTAAATTCTTGATTTAGATTAGATTAAATAACCGTCTGAGCAGGCATATGTAAAGTATATTGTTGTTTCTCTCCTTAGGAGGGAGGGGTGTTGTGGGCCTTCCACTATCTTTATATATGTTTGGAAAGTGGATTGTTGCAGCGCTGTTTTTGGCAAAGGATTGTCCATAGAAAGTGTACACGTGGACATTTTTTATAATAACAATTGTATATAATATGACTTTTGATTTGTATTGTGTATTTGATTTGCCATGTTTGGTCACTGTGTTGTGTAGTATTCACCAAAGTGTTTCGTACATATGTAAAGTAATAATAATAGCTTTATTTCTAATAATTTGTATATGTGCAGTCTGTATCTAACTAGTGCAGAGGGACCTCAGGGTAATAACTGTCTGAGGAGACATATGTAGAGTGTGTTGTTGTTTCTGTCCTTAGGAGGGAGGGATGTTGTGGACTATCCACTTTGATCGATTGTTTGTTTTGATTGATTGTTGTGTTTCTAAAATGGATCATGGCCACACTGTTTTTGGCGGGAAGACGCCAGACTCAGTGTAGCTAGGGCAAGCATGGAGATTACATGAGATGTACATAATGCTAATACTTTAAAAGTAATAAAGTGCTCTACCCCTGATCATAGTTTTATTGTATTGATGAACCCCAGCAAGAACATAAAAATTTATTTATTTTTACTTTGTACCTTCATTGACTGAAAACCCCAACCATCTTCTCTTCAATGGTTCGTTAGTTTATGTTATAATCTCTGTGTTGGATTTTTTTTTTTTTTTTTTTAGGATGATAAATTTTATTTCATTAAATAGTTTATTTCAACTATTGAACCTGATCATAATCAGAGAGAACTGAAGAAAATTATACTATAATTAAGTGTGTGATAAAAGTTTTGTGTGTGTGAAATTATTCTGTGTTAAAATCTGTATTGCTGACTCAAAAAAAACAAAAAAAAAAAACACGTGAAGTACATAGTATATATAATAATTTCAAAGCTAGTGTGACCCTGTAGCCGGAGTATTGTACATATTTGTAATTTTATTACGTACATTAATTACAATTTTTTTTTTTTAATACAGACTTTTACACATGTGTGCTTTTTCAATTTTATACAATTCTCATAAGTGGACATTTCTACATAGGGGACAAAATTTCAATCATTAATCAGGTCCAGTTGTGGAAACTTCTTGTAAGGCATAATGGAGAGTACACTTTTTAACTATATAGTTAAGAAATTAACTAAAATAAAATTTTTGTGTACATTATAAAATATATTTTTGCAGAGCTCTTGGGCAAGGAGCTTTTGGTGAAGTGTACCAAGGTTTTTTCAGACACAGAATAGGAGATGCAGTTGAAATGCCTGTTGCTGTTAAGGTGAATTATAATTCAGCTTCAAACACATTAACTAAATTTTACTGATATTGTCTTAAATAATAATTATTAAACAACTTCAAAGTGACATTTATTGTCAAATTAAATAAATCATTTAGTAAGTAAGATGAATAAGTTTACAATTATAATATTTTCAGACACTTCCTGAACTGTCATCGACTCAGGCAGAAACTGATTTCCTGATGGAGGCACTTATAATGAGCAAATTTAACCACCCTAATATTGTTCACTTTATAGGAGTTTGCTTTGATAAGCATCCTCGGTTTATTGTGATTGAATTATTAGCAGGTGGTGATCTGAAAACATTCCTAAGAGAGTCCCGTCCTAAACCAGTATGTTTTATATTTTTATGTTTAGTTCTTTCTAAAATATATCTATAATTTTTAATTCTAATTTTTTTTTCAGATTAAATGAAAATTTTAATTGCATTATTTCTTAAAAACAAAGTCATAGTGTTAAGAGAAAACATTAATTAAATAAAAATATCCAATAGTATAATAGCTTGTTAATCATTTAATAAAATTTATTCTTAAAACTTATGGGAATAATATGTGAAATATTTACTTACTCTTAGTTCCAAATATTTGAAGTTATTTTTTTATTTTTAGGATCGGGCATCTCCTTTAACAATGAAAGACTTGTTGATTTGTATTGTTGATGTTGCAAAAGGTTGTAAATATATGGAAGAAAATAGATTTATACATAGGGATATAGCAGCTAGAAACTGCCTTTTAACTACAAAAGGCCCAGGGCGAGTAGTAAAAATAGCAGATTTTGGAATGGCTCGTGACATATATAGGTTTGTAAGATTAGCCGAAATTTTTAATTAATTTATTAATTAGTTCTTGAGTAATTGTTAAAAGTTATTTTGAAAATTTTACAGGGCTGACTATTACAGAAAAGGTGGTAAAGCAATGTTACCCATAAAGTGGATGCCACCAGAAGCATTCCTGGATGGTATCTTTACCACTAAGACTGATGTTTGGTAATGTTATCATTATATTTTTTATTATTATTTTCAGTAAAAGGCAAATAAAGTTATTATTAACAAGATTGATTACCGTCAATATTATTTTGTTTCCCATTTCTGGTCTAATATTATTTAACAAAATGTTTTTAATAACAAACCTAAAACTATCCCATTATATTTTAATTTGTTAAAGAGAACTAATTACTTAAGTACTAACTACTAATTACTGAACTAATTACTATCAAAAACCTACTTCTTAAAGATTATTGACTGATCAATAGATAAACCTCAATGCCATAAAAGAACTTTATTATCTTCATACAACTTTTGACCTATTGTTTTTCACCCTTTGATGAAGAGAGAGAGGATAAGGACTGCCTTTGGACATACTGCTCCAGCAGTAATCAGTTTCAAAAAGGTTAAAAATCAATGATTTAAATGAAAATTGAACAAGTTATTTAAGTTACATTAAATTGAACATAAAAGATGTTCTCTATATCTAGGAACAATATATACAAAAACTTTAATAAGAAAATAGTATTTTTTTGTGAAAGATAAGTTTTTATATAGATGAAAAATGGTCAGGATGTGTAGTCAAAAATTTTATTTTGTTTTTTTGAGTTTGCAGATATTTTGACCCAAATATGTGGGTCATCATCAGGGCAGTGGTTTGAAGGACAGACAAGAACTCAAAATTATAAGTACGAAAAATGATCTGACTGTGTAGTCAAAAATTTTTTTTATTGAGTTTGCCGATATTTGTGACTTCTTGCCTGGCCTTCAAACCATTGCCCTGATGGTGACACACATATTTGGATCGAAATGTCAGTATACTCACTAAAGAAAATTTTTACTGCTCATCCTAACCATTTTTTATCATCATAATAGTTAGCTATAAACTTATATCATAAGTTTTTTATTTTTTAGCTGTTTATAGGAAAATACTTTTATGAAAAAATTGTTAGTTAAAAATTTCACATTCTTAACCTCATTAGATTTTATTGTTAAATCTTTTAATCAATTCCACTGATTTTCTGACCTTTTCTTCTGTCTTTTTTTTTTTTTTTTAATAATGCACCGCGACCCCCAATGATCTGACACTTCTGTCACTCTACCTGTTTTTTTAAATCATCTATGATATTTATTCTGTCACTTCTCCTTAGGTCTTGATCTAACTTTCAATCTTTCAATAGTAAAATCTTGTCGATGTGGATTCTGCTGTTTATCCATACATAAAATTAAAAGTCCTTAAATTAACAATATTTTTTTTTTAGGAGAACCCCATTCTACATTTTAAGGCATATGACTATACAGGGTGTCTTAGTTCTTAATGGCCCAACTCTGGGAAGTGATCCTTGACAAAATTTCTAACAAAACATTTCATTTGATGTTTGGGCCAATTGGAACGGAAAAGGGCTAATTAAGTTCAATTTTGTCTTTTCTTAAGGTGGTCACGTTTTCTTTTTCATAGGAAGCAATACCACAAAAGTATTTAATTCAGGTAATTAAAAATTGCTTCTTAGTAAACTAAATAAAATTTCCTTTAAATAAAAGGAGAATTTGTCTTAGTCAAAACCATTTAAAGGGGACTTTTTAGCAGCCAAACTACACTAAGTTGTAGTTTTCATTAAATCGATTATTATTATTTGAGATGTTTTTTTTATCATCCTACAACTAAACTACAGATACCCCAATTTTCAGGAAGTGTTGCACGCGCTCTTATTCCTCTTCCGAGGTTATCCCATAAATGCTCAATGGGGTTCAGATCTGGAGAACGTGCTGGCCAGACTAAAACTTCAATATTGTTCTGTTGAAGGAACGTCTGCACTATGCGGGCGACATGTGGGCGTGCATTATCGTGCATTAGAATAGAACGATCACCGATTTCGTTGAGAATAGGCAACACATGAGGTTCCAAAATCTCATCTACATAGCGAATGGCCGTCAAAGATCTTCCACGAACAACAACCAATTCTGTGCGGCGCTCCATTGAAATCTCAGCCCACACCATTAAGGAACCACGTTGGAAAGGTTGGCTCTGGGAAAAATTACAGGCTGCATATCTTTCGTTTCTTCTTCTCCACACCCTTTCACGCCCGTCTGGAGATTGAAGAGCGAATCTTGACTCATCTGTAAGAAGTACAGCGCTCCATTCGTCCATAGTCCAATGGCTGTGGTCCATAGTCCATTCTCGAGCAAAAGCCAGCCGTGCTACTCTGTGAGTTCTGGTCAACTCTGGTCCTCTTACTGGACGAAAAGCCATTAATCCATACTCATTTAATCTTCTCCGAGTGGTACGTTCAGAAATTTGCATACCTCGAACTTCTTCGAGCTGATGAATCGCTTGAACAATTAAGGTGCCGGTTTTCGTAAAATTCTCAAAGTCATATGTCACAAGGTCATCCTGTGGTTCTATTACCCTAGGCCGTCCAGAACTGGGCCTTATATTGTAAGAACCAGTTTCCTGAAAACGCCTCGTAAAGTTTCATATGGAAAGTTTAGCTGTATATCTAATGGAACGTCCATCATCAATAAGTGCCACACCACGCGCAACATCTTCAGCACTAAGAGGCATTTTTAAACTTAATATTGAAAAAATTAAAAGCCGGAGACTAAGAAATGCGCTACAAGAAACGGCACTGAACTAATGATGCTGAATGAACATTTGATTCCATAGAAAGTAAACATTGGAATCTAGAATCATTTCATTGAATTAAGGGTTATTGTCCTCTATATTAACATTCCTAATTGAAATCAAACAAAAAGATTACCTATTTATTCATTAAAAACAATAGACCAATCCAAAGCAGAAATATTTTTAGATGAAAGCATGAAAAAATTAAGTGGGTGGAATTTTTTTCCTGTCAGTGTATATTTTCAGCAAAAATAACAATAAAAAAATTATTTCAAAGTTTTAATTCTTTATTTTTCTTGTGACCTAACATCTATTTTAATAAATTAATTATGAAAATATACTTTTTATTCATTTGAAAAATATATAAAAAATACTATCCTATTCTATCTAACTTGCAGGACCTTAGTCATATCAGTGATCCTCCTCCACTCTGACCTTTTTTTTTTTCTTTTTTTTTCTTGTTCTTCCCTACCTCGCCTTTTAGGCTATATGGGATTTTCCTGGGACGGAGGGTGGGGGCGGGGAATTTAAAATCCCCTCCGGCACCGGGATGCGAACTCATATTTTTTAAATCTTCTCAAATCTGTTATCCGGTTGCCAGGCAACTCGCAGTGCAGTGCACACGCTTTAGCCCATTCGGCCTTAACACATTAACGGTTTAACATATTTCTGAATATCAAATTCTTTTGACAATTCTCCTTGAATTTTGTCAATTCATCTTACTAAGCCTGATAGGCTTTAAGCGACATCCTAGATAGTTTAACTTTTCATACATTCCACTTCTGTTTATGCTGTTGTATGCTTTCTTTTAATCTATAAATAAATGGTGCTGTTCAATATTCTATTCCCAGCTTTTTCTAGCATCATACTCATGCAAAAACTGTGGTCCATTGCAGGTCTTCCAGGATGAAATCACCTCTTTTGCTCCCTTGACAACTCACTTCATTAGCAAAATTGACAGCATCTATGCATAGTAATGCGGTTCCTCTATAATTCCTACAATCCAATTTGTCTCCTTTCTTATGGGTTGGAAATATAATAGGCACCTTCCACTTACTCTTCCACTTCCTATTTCATCCATATCAGTAATAGCAATTCATATATAGCCATTAGGGATAAGTAATGGTGGGACAACATCCGTGCTGGACTATGCTGATGATCTGGTACTCTTAAGCGAAGACGTGGAAACTATAAAACCAAATACTACAACGTTAATGAAAGCCAGTAAAGAACTAGGGCTCAAAATAAACGTGGATAAAACAAAATATATGGTTAGCTGCAAACATGGTGATATAGATGTCGATATAGATGGCGATATATTTGAACAGGTAGAGAAATTTAGGTATCTAGGTTCGACAATAACTAGAAAAAACGAAATTGAAGAAGAGATTAAGGTTAGGCTGAAGGCAGGAAATGCTTGTTATTTTTCTGTGACAAAACTACTTAGCTCGTGCCTCTTGTCCCGGAACTTAAAAATTAGAATCTATAAAGCCATTGTCTTACCTACAGTTCTTTATGGTTGAGAAACTTGGCCGCTTACATTAAGGGATGAGCAGCGTCTTAAGGGTTTTGAAAATAAAGTATTGCGTAGAATATTCGGACCGAAGAAGGATGACTTAACCGGAGAGTTCAGACGGTTACATAACTCCGAATTGCGTGAACTGTATCTGGGTAATATAATTGAGGTAATTTCATCGCGGCGAATCAAATGGGCTTGTAAAATTGTTGGGCTTAGTAATGAGAGAATGCCTACAAGGTCAATATTTGCTTTACCGAGTGGTAAACATCTGAGGGGTGGACCGAAGGGAAGGTGGGAAGATTCCATTAAAGCCGATCTGAAGGGACTGGGTTTGGACGGTGAACGGTGGAGGGAGGTGTGTAATAAGCGATTGGTGGTGTTGGCATCGAACCTTCGGGTTCGCTAAGCCTTTTATCATCATTTAATCTTAAACATTGATATTCTTAAATCCCAGAATAGTGTGTTTTAAATTCCTTGTTATCATGAAGCCAGTTCCGAATACATTTTCTTCATGTCCGCTATTGATAGTGATATATTCTTTTAGCTCCATTATAGAGTTGTTTCTTCCAACTGATTTCCTGGAGAGCCGCAACGTCGATCCTATATTTGCTTGGACAGTATTTAAAAAAAAAAAAAAGTATTAAAAATACTACCTCTTCAAAAATTTATTATCTAAGGTGATAATGAAAAAAAAAATCAGGAATAATCCATGATTTAATGAAAAACACAACTTAGCGTAGTTTAGCCACTCAAGGTCCCCTTTAAATAGTTTTGACAAAAACAAACTCTACTTTTATTTTAAGTAAATTTTATCTATTTTACTATAAAACAATTTTTAATTATCTGAATTAAATATTTTTGTATTATTGGTTCCTGTGAAAGGGATAACGTTACCACCTTAAGAAAAGAAAAAACTGGACTTTTCGTTCGAAATCAGCCCATACATCAAATGAAATTTTTTGTTAGAAATTTTGTCTAGAATCACCTCCCAGAGTTTGGTCATTAAGAACTGAAACACCTTGTATAACAAAATATTTGTTAAATAATAAACATATTAAGATACTATTGGCAGATAATAATCTAACTTATTTTTTTTGTCTCATGGAACAAATTTCAAGTGGTATTTATTATATTGGGTAGATAGCTAATCTTCTATCTTAAAATAAGCAATTCAGTATTTTTTGTAATGATTTATAACACTAATCAACCCATTAAATGCACAGTAGACCACCATAATTATAAAATAGGTCATAATGATGTAGAGATGGTTGACCGTGATATAATATGAGATGGAGTTGGTCAGGGTGGGGAGGGGAGAGAGAGGGAGGGGTGCGGTCAAATAAATACCAAATTTTTATAATAGGCGTAAACATTAAAATACTATTGTAAAAATTTAGTATTTATTTGACCCCACCAACTCCTTCTCATATAAAATAGGTAAATTAGACTACAAAGTGAGTAATTATTGTTAATTTAATTTACATATTACATTGAAATACTTTAATGAAATATGCATTTTACAGGTCCTTTGGAGTTTTAATGTGGGAAGTGATGTCATTAGGATATATGCCATACACAGGGTGTGCGAATAGAGAAGTCATGTCTCTTGTTACAAGTGGAGGAAGATTAGAGCCTCCAACAAACTGTCCACCACAACTGTATGCGATCATGACACAATGTTGGCACCCTAATCCAGAAGAAAGGCCCTCATTTTCTTTAATATTAGAAAGGCTAGGATACTGCATGCAAGTAAGTATTGAATATTATTATTATGACTATTTATTTTTCTTATCCATAATTTTGAAATAGCATTGATGATTTAATACAGTATAATCTCAATAATATGAACATTAGCAGCCGAAACTAGAGATGGGAAATTCGATTCTTTTAACTAAACCAATTGCAAAGATTCAATCATACTGATGAATTGATTCTTATAAACAATTCTTCAATTGATTTTTTTTTGTCTTATTTTTTCTTTTAATTAAAAAAGAACTTTTTATTTTTAAATATCATATTTTAAAACATTTATTGCCCTTTATTAATTATTTATAAATTAAAATACTTTTTGTCCAGGTCTGCTTCACATTCACATCCAGTCAGTAAAATTGTGTGTATTTATTGAGTTTTAATCTTTCATTCAAACACCTGCTATCCGAATGCCCCTTGCAACTATTAGTTTGGATTACTGATATTTCACTGCAGTTATTTAAATGTACTAAAACATCATAAGGAAAAATATTTAACTAAATATTTAAACATAATTGGTAAATGGTTGACTGTCGTGAATAATGGAGAGAAGAATAGTTGGAGTGATCAGTCAAATAAGTTTAGTTATTTGACTGATCACCCCAACTATTCTTCTGTCCATAAATATTTAAACATTTATTAATCCAAATTTTGTTTAAATATTTCTAATCTTCAATATTTTCGCTCAGTAATGTTAATTTGAATAATTATATTTGATTTTATTCAGATTTTTTTTTATTTAAACATAATACTGTATATGTGCGCTTTTCTTGTATTTTTCTCTCCCTTCTTCTCTATTTTTACTTTTAATCAACTAATATTGTAAATATTTACTTTATTTATGACCACACATACACATCTATTCTATACTTATAATTTGTTATAAAGGGACAACAGTCCCAGAATAATAAATTATATTTTCATTTCATTTCAAAACACCTTATTTTCGGAAACTTCGCCCACCTTAGACACACGACTATAAAGCTCAAATAGGGGTCGTCATATTATATGTATTTTCTTATTCTGACTCGAATAAAACAAAAATTAAATCTATAGCCATTACGTAGATAGGCTGGATTAAAATATCTCAAATCCAAAATTCAGACCTCCATAGCTTTCATCCTCTTTGTAATGAGCTATAATTAAAAATTTTATTTTGATGTGACACCAATTTAGAGAGCAGAAAAGGGAAAAAGATAGAGCAAAAAAAAAAAATTTATTATTTTGATCATTTGGGCTAAAATATCTCATTACCAATGATTTTAAGCGGATATTTCAATGTTTATCTCTCAAAAGAAAGCCTTTTACTTGATTTTTTGGAATCAACATTAGATTTGGATATTTCAAAGAATCCAAATGAAAGCATACAAAATGTGGTACAACAATTGACTTTTGTGTTAGATAGTTAGCAAATCGATTTCAATCAAAAGTACCATCGCATATTTTAGTTATCATAAAACTATCGTTTCATTTTTGTTTCAGTTGATATTTTCACTTCTATCATATGGTCTTAAGCACACACCGTTGTGTTGTTTTTCTTTTTTTATATGTCAATTTTAAATATTAAGAATGTTGAAAAATATATGGGAAACAGTGTGATTTAAATAAATATTTTTATATAGGATCCTGATGTAATAAGAGCTCCATTGCCAGTATATGCCAAACCTCCATCTTCCGAAAGGGACACAACAATAATGAGGCCTACTGGTCAGGAGGAATGTATTCAACCAGATTATCTCGTCCCATTGACTGGTCCACCAGACTGGGAGCTTGGAAATAATCTTCCCGAGTCACGATCTACACAGCCACTTCTCGACAACTCCTCTTCTAGTGGGGCTGGTTCCCCAGCGACCAATAACAATAATCCTTTGAGCACTATACCTGAAAAACCTTTCCATACTAACCATATAGCTGACCAGGGTGTTTTTATTATATCATCAAACTTGAAAGCTGACACTGAAATATCATGTTAAGGTAATAATGTTTCTGATATAATTATATTCTTGCATTTTTCAAAAATAATTATAATAAATTCAGTACAAGAAAAGGGTTGTGTGTGCGGTAAAGTAAGAAGTCTTATTTTATTGTGTGTTGAGGTTTTGGCCTAAGTCTTGGGCTGTTTATTATGACTAAAATGTAAACAAAGTATGTTAAAAAGAGAAAGAAAGAGAATGATTCATTATATTTAAACAATGTTGTTTAGAATTATCTAATAATGGATATTTATAATCTCATATTTTGTACCAATATCGTATTTTTTTTTTTTTTTTAAATGAGTCCATTTTTAATTTGAAACCATTAACAATAGTAAACTGATGGATAGAATCATACTTGCATTTTTTTTTTTTTTTTAATCTATACTATTATATAAATCTAAAGAGTAAGTTTATTTGAACGTCTTAATTTCAGAGACTACCAGTACCTTGCCGCCTTTGACCAGCTTTCTTCATCTCAACCTATCTTGGGCTATTTTTTTTTTAAGTATCTGCATGCAGCTCTATAGTACCTTTGTTGATTCAATCTATCCATATATTTTTTTGCCTTTCATGTGATCTCTATTGTGGCATTCATTTTTGTGCAGAGGTTTCCTGATGGATTACTCTGAGCTACATGTCCCTTCCATCTTAAACTCCTTACCTTACTCATATAAGATATTGATTAATCAATTTTTGAAAGCAGTTCTTTACTGGTTCTTCTCCCACATGCATTAGTAATCTGATCCCAGATCACTGTTATTTTCATGTGAAGGATTTCCCTCTCAAATACTTCTTTCTAATGATGATGATTTTTCATGATTTCAATACGTTTGAATAGAGAAGAAAACTCTGTTTGCGCTAGTTTTATTTTATTTATTTATTTAACGGCTCGACAGGCACCTGAAGCCGCCCTTGGCTCTCTCAACTGCCCTTTTCCAATCATTTCGGACAGCAGCATGTCTGCTGGATACTCCCATCATCATCAAGTCCTCAGCCACGGAGTCCTTCCACCTTCCCTTTGGTCTTCCACATGGTCTGGCTCCATCCGGGGTTCCATAATATAATTTCCTCACAGCTCTACCTTCATCCATTCTGATAATATGTCCCAGCCATTTTAATCGTTGAATTCGCATGAAATGAGAAACTCGGAGATCGTCGAATAAGTCGTAGATCTCTTTGTTCTTCCTTAAACGCCATGTACCATTCTCTCTAACTGGCCCCATGATGCACCTCAACACTTTTCTTTCAAAACTATCAATATTTTCAGCCAGGCTTTTGCGTAGGGTCCAGGTTGAACTGGCATAAGTCAGTACAGGTCGGATGATTGTTTTGTATATAATAATTTTGGTACCCCTACTTAGTAGTTTACTCTGGAGGAAACTTCTTAGGGCGAAATATGCTTTGTTAGCCCCCATTACCCGATTTTGAATTTCTTCTTCTTCGTCAACCTGATCTTTTACGATGGAGCCGAGGTACTTAAAACTGGACACGCATTGAAACACATATTGTCCCGCTACATAATGCTTAGGCGGATTTATAGGTGTTTTCTTCCTAAGCACCATAATTTTTGTTTTTTCCTCATTTATGGATAGCCCCATTCTTCCAGCTTCTCTTTGCAACCTTTCACAGACCTCCTTGACCGCCTTGAGTGACAGTCCAATCAGTGCCACATCATCAGCATATCCAAGCACTTGAGTCATTTTACTAAAAATGGTGCCCAACTTACTAAGCTCTGCTCTATTCACCACAACTTGGAGGGCGACGTTAAATAGAAGTGGAGAAAGGGGGTCACCTTGTCTAACTCCTGACTTCACTGCGAAAGGTTGGCCCAGCTTCCCATTTATTTTCACTCGACTCGCGCTCTCTTTCAAAGTACACGATACAAGTCGGATTAGCTTTGGTGGAATTCCTTTCTCTTCCATTGCCAGGTAGAGCTCTTTCCTGATAATGGAATCATATGCTCCTTTAAAATCGATGAAAAGGACCCATATAATCTTGTTGAATTCTTTTGTTTTCTCCATTATTTGTCTTAAAGAGAATATCTGGTCAATAGTTGACCTATTCCTCCTGAAACCCCTCTGGTAATCGCCCAACCGAGATTCCACAAAATCCACAATTCGATTATATAAAATAACTGAAAATATTTTGTAAGCAGTATTCAGGAGGCTAATTCCCCGTTAGTTATTACAGTCTGTGGAAGCACCTTTCTTCTTGAGTAAGGGAATGATGACAGATTCTTTCCAGTTATCTGGCATTTTATCAGTATGCTGTGTGTCCAGCAACCCAATATAATTGGGCAGCAAGCTTTTATATTTTATCTGAAAATAAAGTGTTTCTCTCTCCCTTCCTTATTTTTCATATTTCTTTTTTCTGTTTTACACTTTATTCTAAGATTTGTTACCATTATTATTATTTATTTCTTAGTTCTCTGTTACTATTATTATTCTACCTGCTTTATTTTATTTTAATGTTCACTCTATCTACTTAATTTTACTTATTTTTTCTACCTAAATTTTTAGTCTATACCTTTCACCTTTTTTTATTTTAATTCTACATTATTCAGTGTTTATCGTTTGTTAAACCTATTATTATTTGGTCCTTTTCTTAGCCCTGATAAAGGCCAAAACATCGGCGAATGTGAAAATAAACACAATTATTTATTTTTACTATTTTGTTTTGACTGATCACCCCAACCATTTTTTTAAATGCTTTCATCAGTAACTCTTTCCACTTTCTGACCCTATCTATTTAGAATCAAGTGTAGGATTGATAATAAGAATGAAACAATGTGCCAAGTATAAACAGTCTAGAAAGCTCTTTGAAGCAATTATGATCAGCTTTTGACCTGAAGTTTGTCTACACATTGTTGTATGCGTAATGTAGTTCAACCTCTACTGTATCAATTAATCAGCTCTAAAAATAGAGTGTACTAAGTTTATCAACAGTAGATATTCAATCTGCTTTACATTTTTTTTTTTCAGGTTCTATGGAAGATAGAAGCCAGTGTAGTACAGGGTATACTGAACTATAAAACAAAGTCTAGTGGCTAACCAAAGTATATTTTTGAATTTTCTGAAAAGGTAAAGTAATGGATTGTAATACAGAGTGAAAGTATGCATAACATATAAAATCGCCCAATAAAGAACAATGGCCTATATTATTTTCACAAGAGAATTTGCATATTCTCTAGTTGTTTTCCAATAACATTAATAATTTACTTCATGCTTCTGCAATCATCAGTTATTCAAAAATAAAAAAGGGTGTAGTGATGGTTGCCGTGATATAATATGAGGAGGAGTTGGTCGGGAGGTGCGGTTAAATAAATACTAAATTGTTAAAATAATATTTTATTCGTATAATATTTGACCACTCTGTAGGTCTTCATCAGGCTACAAAAGATACAAATAAAAGGTACATAATGAAAATTGAATCATGCAATCATCCATAGTGAACATTTAAAAAGTTATATAGTGAAAATTCATTCATTTTATTTTCGCTATGCACCTTTTATTTGTGTTTTTTGTAGCCCTGATGAAGACCTACAAAGTGGGTCGAAACATTGATGTAACGAATAAAATACTATTTGAACAATTTAGTATTTATTTGACCGCACGTCCTGACCAACTCCATATATATACAAAGATCTTTTAAAATGATAATTAATTTCAACTTGAATGATTTTAATTGATTCAAAATGTCATAATTGTTTAACAATAAAACATATTTTATATGATGATTGTATGTTGCTTAATATTAGAGCATTTACAACATATTGTTTTTTGTTACTGCCTATAAAAATTTATATTTTTATCTACATAATTTTTAAGGTTTTTTTTTTAGATTAAGTTTTAAGCAAAATTGATAGGCATGCAATACATAATAGTAAATCATAAAATATTTCAGTTTGTTTTAGATTCAATATGTATAAAGTTTAACAATTCAGCCAAAGTGTAAAACAACAATCCTTTTTTTTTAATTGTCAAAGAATGAAACATAGATTTAATAATAAAACCCATAATATTTATTACAATTATCTGATAAGATCTAAGTTCATTTTCATGAACAGTAAAAGTATTTATTTTTTTTCAATAGATTGTGATATCTTGTAAAATTGTTTATACCAAGATTTTAGGTTAAGAAATTGTTTTTTAAACAACCACATATACATTCATATCTTAATGGTATTGATGTTATAACGCATCGTTTCTCAACCTGTTTTTTACTGTAATTACTTAGAACTTATTTGTTTCCTAGTTACATCTCATCTCCAATTTTAATAAGTGAAAAAGTGTTTACCTATTCCAAAGTTACATTTATCAATGTAATAATAGTGTATTATAGTTTTTTAACATTTTAATGAATATATATTACCTATAAGTTTATAATGATCAAGAAAAGTTTATATACATGAACATTTCTTGATCATTGTGGCTGTTAAACAAAAGTGAGCTTTTTTAAGTTCCATTCTATTTAGGGAAAGATTACCAAAGATCATCACCACCCATTGCAACAATGACTCCAAGGATTTTAATAATTATCTCATAAGGCTGAATCCAGTTTTGATGATGGTGTGTTGTTTAAGGTTTAAATAAAAATACAGTTGAGTCCACCATAACAGTAGCAATAAGAAAAGCATTAGCAATATCAATGATATTGGCTTAAGACTCCTCTTCTGCAATCAAATCTTTGTTTATAAGACAAAGTTAATGATTTCAGCAGAAAAATATCAATTTTATCATTGTAGCACCGTTATCAATATTATTGTGATATTCTATATAGTCTCTTTTATTTTATCTAAGGTCAATAAGTAGCAAGCAGGTAATATTTTATCACTGATAAAACACTGAAACCTTACGTGAATGATTTGGAAAGATGAATCAAAGAATCATGAAACACTTCTATTCGCTGTTATTTTTATACTTATGTTTTAATTTCTTGTGTTCCTTTAGGGTCCAATATTTTCCTCTGTGTCCTCAAGAGAACCCTAACCCTCCAGGTTGAGAACCTGTGCTATAATTGCCTGATAATTCCAAGGTGATTTCTTACACCAAATTAAGAGCTATTAATAAAAGTGGATTAAAATAGTATCATAAGGATCATATATGAAAGCCTTTATTTCGAATACAATGAAAGTGAATTCTAAATGATTAAAGTATAAAATTGTTATTGTTGAATTTTTTTTCTTTAATGATAGTTATAATATTTAATGTATAGCAATATAGAGTTACAAGTTCATTCAACAAGAGTAATAACCTTAATAACAATTTAAATTATGATACAAATATTACATCCCTGGAAATCTGCAATAATTGGTGGAAAAAGAATGGAACAATTATTGTAGTTGAAATTATCATAAATGAAGATTAAATTATAAATCATTCTCCATCAAACTTATGTTTCATTCTTGTGGATGTGTGGAACTGGACTTGTCATTCAGACAGCATTATGAGTAAAATTCACTTTGTTTAAAAAAATAAATAAATTAAGGTAGTTACTGTGTAATATGCTTTAGTATAGTAAATGCTCATTATATATATGAACGTATATATAATATATATTTTCAATAAAGATGGAAAAATATAGGATATGATTTGTTGTATTTATAAAAAACTCATGTGTATTTATGTACAAAATAAATTCTAATAAAGATGTATATATATATTCCAAGGAAATGTTCTGTAAAAATATATTTTTATTTTATTTTACTTTTTAGTTATATAATTTATTATTTGTTTTTGTCAGATGTTATACTGATAAGTATAAGTGATTTTGGAATTTTTGTACTGAAATTTTAACAAAAATATTTATAAAGAAGTTACCATTAATATATGTTAGTTATATACATATGATCTATATTGTACGTATAGATAGATATATCCATTTTAACTCAGAAATATTAAATGAAAGTAAACTCATAACATTTATATTACACAAAAAAGCTTTAAATGTCAAAATAAAATGGGTCTTTTGAAAAAAAAATAAATAAAGAAAATAGTTTAAATAAAATTTATTCGATTTTAATTGTAAAAATGTCTCTCAGGAATGAATGTTTTTTTATCCACATAATTTATATTTATTTTGAAATGACAATATTGAAAATATTATTGAGAAAAAAAAAGTGCAAATAAAAATTGTTTATTAAAAAGTTGTTTTCCTCGGCATCTTAATAACTTTTTAAAAATGAAAAAATATACCTACAGGTTTCATTAATAATTATAATAAGGCAATTAATAATTTTAAAAACTGTGTTTAAATAAATTACTGTAATTTTTAAATATTAATAAAAAAATAATTTTTTGAAGTTACTATTCAATATTTTTAATGAAACATTATTCAACATTTCAGCTCTTGATTGCTTTCCTATCATCAAACTTTCAATTTTATTTATTTCTAGAATTATTTAAATGATACCATAAATTTAGTTGAAGTGGGCATGTAAATATAATTAATTCTTGATAACTTATATTTCAAAAGAATAATGAAAAGTTTCAAGTTATGCTTGGTTTAATGAAACAAATATTTTAATTATCAAATCATTTTGAGTAATAGAGTTTGGCTAATATACATTTTGAGTTATAGAGATATAAATATTTTTATGTCTTAAATGAAGGCAATTTGAAATACAAAAGTAAGCCATGAAAGTCTTTATATAGATGTGACACTTTATTTAATTGGTTGGGATAGACAGTTCTTGTCTCGACTTCAAACACTAGCCCTCTGGATGACACACATGTTTGGGTCGAAACATCAGCTAACCCCTTAAAAATATCTGGACTAAAATTCCTGTAAATTTTGTTTCATCCCTCTAACCGATCAATCACCTATATACCTATCTTCAAAATAAAACAAGGTAACCAGGATTGACTATGGTTACTGTTACTTTGAATGAGCTTTAACTAACTTTTTAAAGATAGAAAACAATTGATTACAAAAATTATAGTTTCTAAAATCAAATTTTATAGACTAATTATACTGATGACCTAACAAATTCATAATTATCTTATCTATAAATAATAATAATAAGGATATAGATAAGAAATAAATATTGTAATGTGACAGCATGATTTCAAAGTAAGAAGTACAAAAAAAAAAAGTTGGTAAAATAATCAATAGAAACCTTGAGTCACAAAAATTTGTGGAAAGCCGTTTTTCTACACATTAAAGATATTTGTCAATAATTTAAGCTGTATACATGGCTTTATATGATCAGAATAGACTCTCAAACCTATATTAGAAATCAACCTTTTCAATTAAAGAATCAAGGAATAGCAAAACACAAGAATGAAATTGGTAAGAACAAATATAAATATTTAAAATACATACATATATATTTTTTCTGGTTTATTATACAAATACACAGAAAATACATCAAGCTGTCATACAGAAAGCACTTTAACATACCATAATCTTTAATGCATAGTAGAAAAACTGATCTCATGATGGGATTACAATCTCTGACATTTAAAACTGTATAACAGCTCTTTATTTAGTAGCAACTTAATATTGATACTGTAACTTGTACTCCACATAATAAAAGTAAGAACTTTCTATCAACCAAATAAACAAAGATAAGAATAAGAAATGTTTAAATATATATTTTTTAGCACCTAATAGTCCAACACAACTGCATTACTTGATTTAACAAAAAAAAAAAAAAAATCGAAATATTGTTTTTAAATAGAACAACTAATACGATGGCCATTAAAAATATAATAATACCAAAAACTCACTTAAAAATACCAGTATTAAATATAAAATGTACCTTACATAAAAATGTTCTATTAAGTTAATAACATACACAAGCCATCTGCATTAGTTCTTTGTAACCCCTGTAACTAAATTGTGTTTAAGCAAAATAAATAACTTCTTAAGAATAAAATAAAAGCCTTTTCATTTTTCAATATACCAAGTAATATACTTGAATATGATGTATATTATTATGGAAGATATGTACTGTTTAAATATTGAAATTAAAAAAAAAAAAATTATGAGACATACAGATTATAAATCTTTTATTAAATGGCATATCTTACTTTGAGAAAATTACTTACGTAAATGAAAATTAAATTTATTTCTGTAGATAAAAAGTTCTACAGAAATATAAGACAATTGAAACCATGACTAATCAAACAAATCTTTAACTATTTATATCACTTTACTTTTTTTTAATAGCATAAACATAACGAATTAAAACAAAAATACAAATAAAATAATAAAGCTTTTTGGTGAATTATAAATTAATTGAATGTGTAATAAATGTACAGCTAAATACCAACATAAAGAATTATTTTCATTATTACAGAATAAACAATGTGTAATTTTTTAAGTAGCGCTTCATTGAATGATTAGTTTGGCATTTGTGTAAGCATAACTATATATTATGAACATTATGTTATTCTATTGCATTTACATATTAATTTTGCTCAAATATGTGTAATTTATTAGAAAGAAATTAATTAAATAAACAATATATTCATTTTTTTTAAATGTTAATGAACAAAAAATTTAAATTAAGACAAGGTAATTTAGCCACCGTCTATTTTCTAATTTCCTAACACCAGTATTCCATCCTAGTGATATAGTAAATATCAATCAATATCAAATGTATATATATATATAATATATTGTAACACATTTTTACATTTTTCTCAAAAACGGCTTTAGCGGTTTTGATTAAACTCGGTGTATCATTGTATAATTAAGTAGTCTTTAATATCATTTAGGCCTTATACCCATTGATGCCACTTTACAGAGCTTAAATACCTAATGTTCATATACTTCTTCCTCTAAAGTACCTTTAAAATGGTTTATTTTAAATAATTAATTATCTCACATTATTAATAGTTAGAGAAAAAAAAAAAGAAAAATGCTAAATATAACTTTTGAAAGAATTTGATAATTGAATAAAGGAGAAAAAAATAAAAATGCTTGTCCAGGTCGAAAATGAATCTCCGGAAATACTAGTCAGAAGGGTATAGGAATAATATATCATTGGAAAGGGGAGAATTTTAGAAAAAACAATATCTAATATAGAAAGTTGTAAAAGGTAACTGAGAGCTGCGAACAAATTATAAATAATATATTTTTTTAAAGTAACATTATTTAACGTAAATCACATGTTTTCAAGGAAATTAAATGAAATTTTCTTATTATATGTAAACTTTTAAATGTTTTTCTAAGATTGAAAAAAAAAAAAAATTTAAATCCAGGGAATCAAGCCAATGTCATTGTTTAAAATACTATTTCATAGTACTTGTGTGAAAGAAGAAGTGAAATATAAAAATATTTGATGTATATGTTTGTAACTTTAAATACATTCACTATAGTTTAAAAACTCTAGATATGATATTATATTTAAATAATTAGGTATCTATCGGGTGTTTAGTCCAAAAATCTTCAAGTAAACTTTTCGAAAATTAAATTAATAAATAATTTGATGAATTTTCCGCTTGTGAAATCTCAACATTATCCACTTACAATTAGTGTGACAACTTTTGACCTATCCATGACAGACAATGAGAGTATCGTAATTCATTTTAATGAACTTTACAATGGAAAATAATAAAGTAATGTTGTTTATAAAAGAAGATGGAGTAACTAGATTCTTATTGCCTACCGTTGATATAATAAATAGACTTTTTGTAATTTTAATGGTCTTAATTTTTTGTTATCTCTAAGCTTTAAGCTTTATCTCTGTTTAACTGCACTTCAAAAATTGTATAATAGTCCATCATTGCCAGGAGATAATTTATAAGTGACAGTGAACATTTTATGGTTTCTTTATGGGTTTATGGTTTCTCAAAAAAATGCTTAGTTCAGTAATCGACTTCCAGCTTATAAGTGATAAAATGTGCAAATTAATTAAGGGTATTAAGTCAAGAAACATCACCATAGTAAATGTCCACACCTTGCAGATGACATAGCTATTGTGGAGAGATCACAAGCTGCTGTGGAAGAAGCCTTTTGTAAGTTTGAAAAAGAAGCAAAAAATATGGGCCTTGAAGTAAATTAAAATAAAACGAAAATGTGCATAAGGAAAGGATGTAAGAGGAAACTGAAACAGGATGTAGATTAGCAGCAGCCAATAGAGCCTATTTCTCCCTAGCCAAAATGATTAGAAGCAGATTATTAAGTCGAACTACGAAAATAAGACTATACAAATGTCTTATAAGACTTATAGCAACTTACGCGTGCGAAAAGAGGAAAATTAACAAGGCAGTCGCAAAAAAGCTAGATCACTTCGAGAGGAAGATCCTGGGACCTATCAAAGATAATGAAACTTGGCGTATTGCCCGAAATTCGGAGTTGTATGGTGAATACCAGGATTTAAGTATCTCCAACTTCGCTAGGTTGCAGAGACTGAAATAGATTGGACATCTTATCAGGATGTCCATCAAGATCACGCTGGCAGGATGGTGTCCTCACAGACATGAGACAAGCAGGGATGAGCACAGTACATGCTGCAGATAGGTCGTCGTGCCGTTAAACAAGAAGAGACAGTGACTGAGTGACGAACTCTAAATTCTCTGATGTTTCAAATTTTCCATGGGAAATGCTCAGTTGGGCGTTAGCGAACTAATTTTTAACTAGCTAACGTACACCTAAACAGCTAAAATTAGCGGCGCCACTAGCGGATTCAGGATTTAATCTTCAGCCCGAAAGATTTTTTTTTCATATATCCAACAATAATTAATTTAAAAAAAAAAGAAAGAAATTAACTTCCTACATGAAATGGTGTTTAAGTGATTCTCGAAGTCCTATTAAATGTAATTACACGAATAATAATACTTTAAGAGATAGTTTTTAATTTTTTTTTTCTATAAAATATGGTTATATTTTACCGTTTTGGGGGGAGGGGGCTTCAGCCCGAAAGCCCGTAGATCCGCTTGTGAGCAGCGCTAAATATGAAGATTAGCTTCTTACTGTGGTATCGCAGCTAACTTTACAGCTAAATTAGCTTTTAGCGGAAACGAACAGCTAACTTTTAGCTATAGCTAAATTAACTGTTAACTTAACTAAAAAATAATTTAACGCTAACACTGGAGCAAAATTTATTTATTTCATTTCATTAATTGATATTAGGATCGACTGTAATGTAATCGGGGGCGTTTTTTATGAAAATTCTATCGGATTTGAATTTGATATCTATTATGTTTTAGGAGGCGCATATTATAAAAATAGAGACGGATTTTACGAATTAAAACGATATTGGAGTCGATTATTATATTTTCGTGGGTGATTTTTATGAAGACGCCGTTGGATTTAAGATCAGAGATGGGCAAAAAAAGCACTAAAAATTACAAATATGCAGGCTGACTACCTCAAATCCTATAGTATCGGTTAAATCTGAAGACTAACAAAAAGTCGGTGCCCGGTGGCACTACCTCAAAACCACATTATTTTCATAAAAAGCATCCCCAAAACCTAAAAGTCTACCCACATATCGATTAAATCAGAAACGTCGGTGCCCGTTGGCTCTACCTAATAACCAATTTTTTTTTCATAAAAAGCGCTCCCCAAAACCTAATAGTCGACCCATATATCGGTTAAATCAGAAAAGTTACCAAAATCGGGGTCTGAGGGCATTATCTAAAATCCGACATTATTTTCATAAAACGCGCCCTACAAAATATAATAGTCGACCCATATATCGGTTAAATCAGAAAAATACAAAAAGTTGGTGCCCTGGGCACTATCTAAACACCTACATTATTTTCATTAAAAGCGCCCCCAAAACCTATTACTCGACCCATATATCGATTAAATCAGAAAAGTTAGAGAAAATCGGTGCCCGGGAAAATCCGACATTTTTTTCATAAAAAGCGCTCCCTGAAACCTAATAGTCGAGTCATATACCCATATATCGATTAAATCAGCAAAGTTACAAAAAGTCGGTGCCCGTGGGCGCTATCTAAAATCCGAATTTATTTTCATTAAAAGCGCCCCCAAAACCTATTAGTCGACTCTAATATCGATTAAATCCGAAAAATTACAAAAAGGTGCCCGGGGACACTATCTAAAATCCAAATTTATTTTCATTAAAAGCGCCCCCAATACCTATTAGTCGATCCTAATATCGATTAAATCCGAAAAATTACAATTTACTATTTTAATCAATGGACGACTATCTGACAACCTATGATTAGTTTCAAACGCATTTGCCAACTTTTTGGAAATTTATAACTCCAAAAGGAATAATCGTAATCCCGAAAAGAGTGGATCAGTGATGCGAAGGATGTGTTCTCAACTCGTCTCTCAGTTTTGGCCGACTTTTCAGCGGAATCTCTCTGATTATTCACTGAATACAGTTTATGTGTGCATCAGAGCAGTTGATATTTACTGCTTGATATATTTTTGTTTTAATTTTTTTTTCTTTTCTTATGATATGCGGCATTGCCAACAAGTGATGTCCAATAAGGTGCCCACTAAGAGGACTCGGTCAGAAGGCGTTGTAGCCCTCGTGATTCAACAGCCAAACAAAGAACTCGTCGCTGCCTACGATAAATCGCTACAATAACCACAGTGAACACTTCAGATCCAGAACCTCAGCCTCAAACAGATACGTCTTCGCAAGAAATCGTTGAAGAATCCCCTTTCTTTACTCCAAACCCGTTCCAAGTGCTTCATAATGACAGAGAACTAATGGAGTTAGCAGCTATACCAAGGGAACCAAGGTCCATCCGATATTTGTAAAAAATATCAAAGATTTCCACCTATTGTGTACACAACTAAACGAAATCTGCTCCAGCAGTTATTCTTGCCTCAACAGGACCAATGATACAAAAATAACCAGATACTTCAGAAAGCTATCTAAAAATTGTGAAGTACCTGTCAGAAACGAATGCAAAGTTCCATACGTATAAGCTGAAACAGGAGAGATGGTTAGGAGTGGTGAAAAGAAATTTACACTCCTCAACCCCAACTGAAGTGATAAAAGAAGAACTAACGACGCTTGGTTTCAATGTACGTCAGGTAACCAATGTTCTGAAGGAGAATTTGGAGCAGCCGGGAGTAAAAAATAAAGTTCTACTACCTTTATTTTTCGTGGACCTAGAGCCATCACCTGAAATTGAAAAAAACATATAAAATCAAGAGATTGTACTACACTATCGAGAAGATAGAGAAGCCGTACCCCAAGAGAGAAATCGTGCAGTGCAACAATTGCAAGGCGTATGGTCACACAAAGACTTATTGCCACCACTTGCCGCGTTGCGTGAAATGTGGCGAACAACACAAATCAGCAGAGTGCACCAAACCTATACAAGATCTTGCAGTTTGTGCCCTATGCCTAGAGGAACATACAGCCAACTACAAAGGCTGCCAAACTTATAAGAACCTCAAATCCAGATACCAGAAGGACCCGATTCAAGATCAGACCAAGAAGAGAACATTCTAGAATTGTTAGTAATAATATATCATACGCCGAACTACTTGGAGGTAAGAACCCAACTAATACAAGTAAAGCCTTGTCGCAGCAACTACCTCAACCCCAACCTCAATATCCTGTTCATCCTCACATACCTAACCATCAACAAACTCATATTCCTCCTCCCTCAAATGCATAGAT